TATATATATGATGTACACCATTAAGCCGGGATTGGCTTAATTCAAATTTTCGAGTTGAGAAAGCAGCGTGTTGATGCGCAGATGTTACACTTATTAGTTAATTCATGAGTATATTAGAAATAGTGTGTGGACCAGGTGTCTTTGATAAGTAGCTTTTAGTTAGTTTTTCTTCTTTAATGCAGCTAAAATGCCGTCGGGACATCGGAGGCGAAACATTGCTCCTTGATGTCTATTATATTCTTTGCGACAGAACTTTCCTCTCGTTTGTAAAGGTTGTTTGCTCTCAATTTTGTTTACTTTCAGTAATGGTCAAAATTTAGACGGTTCAATTAAGGACAGTATTTAGAAGCTTCACGAACGCATGGCGCGGCAAGCTTAGGGTTCTCATCACAATAAATGCTAGGGGAGCATTTGTATTCTAAAGCCTCGTTGCTAGATAGATTGGCCGATACGACATGATGATAAGATGTAATGCAATCGTTAGGCGATCGTGAAACACTGTCTGCTCTCTAGAGAAGATTTGAAGACTAAGAAGATGTCTGTCAAATTGTTGTTTAGGAAAGAAATACCACATTGGCTAATTGAATCATTCTTATAATAATAATATCAATTACTGGTTAGGTGAACTGTTAAAAGTAGAAGAAGGCGCAAATAGACTGCAGAAATAGATCGAAAACACAGCGGTGTACAGGAAACGCATGAGTGCCTGGGGACATACTTTTCTCAGTGGTTGATAATTGTACGTGAATAAATGGGAACGTATATCCGCAATTTGAGCGTGTCTCTCAGCACGTTGCAGACGATCAAGTTAATGACACAAACTGTGTGATACGTCGGAGAAGAACATGACGATGGCTTATTCTTGATATAAACAAATGAAAAAAAAACAGATTGAAAAACATTTCCGATTAAAAAATAGCCACAATGTTAGCATATATGCCAAAACGGCGCGCGGCTGAAGACAAATACTTTCAGCCTATTCATTAGCCGGGGCACTAGCCGACACCGGAAAAATTGGTCGAGTAGCTATAAATAGCCTTATAAAGTGAATACTAATTTGTGACTGAGTAATTGCCAAGAAGTGATTGAGTATTGTGAGTCATTTTATCTTAACGAAAACGTCTTTCTTAAAGAGTATTTTCCCTCGATTTTGAACGACAACAACGACAATAATATCTTTGCTCGCTCACAATTTCCGTTGCCACCACTAAACACGAGCAAGAACTATAATGACTGACGGCATAGAACACTAAGGCGCTACACGATGGTGTCCGCATCGCCAAATATCAAATCACCGCTAATAGATGGTGAAAAAAGAAGACGGAGAAAAGAATAAAGATGTCTATTTCTAATCACTGTTTTTCCCGAACATTTCACGCTGCAGGTGTGGTTTACGCAACGCATTAGCGAATCTGATTTTCAGTGTAAGCATATATGATCAATTGTAAAATCACGGTACCACCATATATATATATATATATATATATATATATAGGTATAGAAATCAGTTACGACGAGTCAAAGGGGCTACAGTTATTCCAATTAATTTACGCATAACCGATTCAAAGTGACAGATATATATTTATATATCGGCTTCGCATTCATTTATGCTAATAACATAAGACCAAAATACTACTTGTAGATGGGCTTAAAATAGGCGAGAGCTTTCCGTATCCAATAGTTTTTTTTTTTTTGTTTTTCTCTGTGTCTATTGGCGGCATGATTCGAAGTCGCGATCTCCGGATTCTGATAGTCTTCCCTATATTAGAGCTATTGTTCTCAACCGTAGTTTAGAGAAATTCAACAATCGTTTCACGTGATCTCTGGGTGACATTCCATTGCGAAGACGATTGAGAGCTGTTTTCTAAGTATTGCGGAAGAACTTAAAAACTTTAAGCATACGTTTTAGTAGTGCATAATTTACTATTCGTATGTGTGCGAAAAAGATAAACAGTGAGAAATCTATTGGGCAAAAATCAAACAGTTTCATTACAGGTACAACGTAAGGTGGCTAACAGGTGCCTCTGTGCCCGATACATCATTGAGTCGTATGGAGTGATCGATGGACTCCAAGATGTGGAGCCGATATATTCGAGAACCAGATTGCCGATGACAAACTAAAGGGCTCGGCCCCATGTCAAAAAAAGCTACCCAGCCAAGCCGAGTCATCCGGTACCTCTGAGGAACGTATCCTTCTTCAAGGCGCGTTTCATGGTCCTTGTCAGCTGAATAAAGCTAAAACATAAACCGACGCGTACAGGACCAACCTGTTCACCCCGCCAGAATAAAGAATCCCTATGCAGCATGAGCAGATTTTCGAATTTCCGCAAATAGGCAGGAATTAAAGCGACCACTCCAGAGTGATACAAAGTTTTTGCATGGAATTGTTGATGAATTGCGATCTAAACATAGTACATGTTTTTTTTTGTTAAATAAATCTATCAAGAAGTGTATATTTCCGAGTAACTGAAGAATTTGTGATGTACTAGATCACCCTCATGCTGGTGAGACTCAAGGAACTTGATGTATTTGTGTAAATGGTGAAACGAATGGCATAACTAGAAATTTCGAAGACCTCGTTTATTTCTTTGATTACTCTAAAAATAAAGAATAATTAAAGAAATTTTAAAAGGAATCGCAAATCCCTTGTAAGCATACGTTTAAATGTACATCGGGGAAAATCTGACCACGTGAAGAGTTTCCGTTTGCATAATATCGCCACAATGTGCGGAGCAAGTTATACAACATCAGATTCACTATACAGAAATTAAAAAATAATAGCAATTAATGATATCTATTTAATTAGACTTACGGTCCTGATAAGCCAGGCGGCCTTCTTCTGCCCCATAAAAAACGGTATGGACGGCAAAAGTTTCTTCGTTTCGGCAAGCGGTTCGGTTCTATAAAATGTTGATGTAATGTGTTGGAGTGGCTTAGGAGACGTTTGACGGGTCCATATCATGGATAGCTTCCTCGGAAATAGGCCAAACTCTACCAATTCGTATTCAAATAATAGGACCCAAGAAAACAAACAGTCACGAACTTAGCGCTAGTTATAATAGCCGCAGCGGCAAAAGCGTACTTGTCACGTTATGATTTCGCCAAAGTGCTGGGAAAGTTCTTCTTGACAAATCTTCATCTATAAATAAGGCTATTCAACGTGGTTACTCATTATTATTATTATCCTTATTGTGAGCTTCGAGTTTTTCTGTCACTACATCTAAGACATGAGAAACTACTGAACATAAAGTGAAGTCATGGATACGTCTGACGATCGATAATGTATGCAATAAAATAATATTTAATCCAAACAAGTGTGTTTTATTTCCGTTCAAATCAATTTAGGTTAGGTGTTGTTGTTGGGCGCAAATGGGTACCGAAAAGATTGCTGAATCGCTGCGCGGCTAGTTAGGTTGGCATGACAATGCTAAGAATAAACTTCCATTATTAGTCCGTTAACAGAAACTGTTAACCGTAAACCCGTTCTTGAGTGGGTTAGAAATAGGTTTAAAAAAATTTTCAAAATGTACTTGTAACTAATCAACAACGTTTCTAGCCGGTAGACCAGGAATGGTGTAAATATATTTTCTATAATACGCAATGGCGTGTGCTAATTGCTTCCAGATTATCGTCTTCAATGCTAGATTATTATCCAATAGCTACAAGGAAGTTTGACGTTTGTAATGAAATTACATGGGAACCTCACTTGATTGTAACGCTAACGTCAAGAACAAGTTGATTAAATACAGATACGTTTACACTTTGCAAATGAAGGCTTTACGTCATAAACTTAATTGTGTTATAGATCTTTTCCGATAAATCTAAGTTTTCTTACGCAGTACTTTTAAATGGGCGTGCAACATGATCCGGTGGATCAACTCAGCCCTTGCAACGATTCTCATTGAGAAAGTACAAGCTAACGACTTCGGTAACAGCTGATAGCGAAGTGAATCGCGAAGGGTTAGCATCGTCAAATTTCTAACGCCTACATCCTCCGATTTTTGTGCCAGATAAGGCTGATCATATTCAACACTACCTGAATGCTTGTTAGGCTTTTCGAAAGTGAAACAATTATCTATTTTGCAACGTATCCCTCAGATATATCCAGCACTCACGTTCCCAAAACAAAACGAGACAACGAGGTGGTCTTCATTAGGTACGATATCCATTTATTCTTAAGATTTCCTATTGTTCTCTATGATACATTCGAAAAACAAACGGCATATCTGGTAAAACAGAACGTACGAGTTTTCTATTTCGCTCCTCTCTTCTATTTACGATTACTTGTGTCCTTTCTACACTCTTTTTTACACTTTTAACAAAAATGTATTTGTCTATGGGAGTTTGTACACGTGGCATGGCGTGGCAGTTTGCATTTGTTACTGTCGTGAACAAACTGGATGACCTAGAAGCGTGTTCCGAAAACATAAAATGAAACAAACGAATAAAGAAAAGGACAAAGTAATAAAGAGTAAAAAAATAAGCAGATGAATAAAAAATATAACCATTTTTTACCATCCGCCGCCCCCGCCTCCACCAGACCAACTTCCGCCGCCCCCGCCTCCACCAGACCAACTTCCGCCTCCACCGTGACCTCCGCCGCCGCTGATCTTCGTAACAATAAATTTTTTTGTTGTGCCGCCTCCACCACCTTTCCAACTACCACCGCCTGCAGGTTGCCATCCACCGCCTTTATGGCCTCCACCTCCTTTAAGTTTTTCTACGATCCAGACTTTTCCACCACCTCCGTGGCCTCCTCCTCCTCCGTCCTGCCATCCGCCTCCTCCTCCTCCGTCCTGCCATCCGCCTCCTCCGCCTCCACCCTGCCATCCGCCTCCTCCACCCTGCCATCCGCCTCCTCCACCTCCACCCTGCCATCCGCCTCCTCCACCTCCATGACCACCTCCACCAGCTTTTTGGACCTTCACAATAAACGTTTTGCTTGGGCCGCCTCCATGGCCTCCGCCCCCTCCACCGCCGGCCCAACCTCCTCCGCCGCCGCAAAGGGCCGTTCCGAGAAACGCGCTTACCAACAGCTACAGCAGACAACAACAGATTAACGTAAATGAAAGCAAAAAAGCTGGACATCGCAAATTAAGTGTGTTTAATAAACGAGAGTTATCGGCGGTCTTTTTAACGTATTAGAAAACTGCTCCTTTTTTTAAAATATTTTTCGTAATTCTGAAAAAGGGAGACGAGACAGCGACCTTTTTTACTTGTTTTCCTTTTTGTTTCGCTCGGTTTTTCTGTAATTTGGCTGCAATTTAAAACTGCTTTTGTCCTTTTTACAGATATCTCAGGTCTTCAAGAGAATCAAACTTGACAATGATCGATGCAACCTGTCCTCTAGAAGTACTTTTTTCCTAAACAAAAAAAAAGGCCTAAAAATTATTGTAACCATAAGGTCAATATTAGCATATATCATTAGCTAGGGTTAAAAACGGCTAAACTGGAGAGCGTTAAGGCGCAATGTCTCCATTCAGCTTCGGTTATCTTCATCATTAGTATCTGTTCAGTCGAGCACATATCGACTAAAAGCAATGAAAGAGCGCTAAAAAGAGGGTTAGAGGCTAGTTGAAACACTTACTAAAATCCTCATATTGATTGCTCTTCTCAGATCATTGGCAGAGACACAATGTGTGGTTAGGCAAATCTTTACGCTTATAAAGCCTCAGCACAGTCACGTACGAAAGATATCCACACGACGTTCTCCCACAGCGATATTGTAATATCGATTGTGAAAGGGCAATACATAGAAGTAAATCATGGATATTATAGGAAAGGTAGAACTGCTGCTGATAGCCTTTCTTTTTCTTTCCTTGGAAAATCTCCTCCTCTCCTATTTCTGTTTTCATTTTGTATTTTGGCAGAACGCAGCAAACGTCAAGCGCCGATGGCGTCAGAGCGTTTTCCTTCGTATAGTGGTAGCTGGCTGAAAAGAAACTCTTTAAGCTTTCTGTTAGGCCAGAAAATAAACATGAGGGCATATGAATTGATATTATCAGTTATATAACACGTTGCTTACCTACGGTCCTTACCTGCGTACCTGGCTATGGCAGCATAGATTTAGTCCCAGCGACTTTGTAGGTTTCCTTAAGTCCAAGTCGTATCATCGACAATCGATTATTTATGCTAATCTATAAGCAGATACAGGATACACGCCCATGGAAGACAACAAGCAAATGAGTCAGAAGCTGCAACTTGACCCACAGACATCGAACAACGGTAATGCCAACGATTTACGACTACCTCGGCCGTTGCAGATGTCAATTTAGCCCGCAGACTCCGCCGATACAAAGGCGTTAGTGGCCCGTAGCGCCAGCACTTTAAATCATTGTTCCTAATAACTGGCTAATAGTAATGATAATACTCTGAATAAAGGAACAAACTAAGGCGTTGAGGTAACTACAGTAATGTCAACCGTTGTTCGAACGTTGACAATAGCATCAAGAAGAAGTCGAAGCTAGATCCTTCTCACTTAAGTGGGTCCAACTTCTGTTTTGCCTTGGTCAGGAGTTATCGGGGTCAGCTGTTTCGTTAGTTCGAAATCACAAGATCGACAGTGGTCCAGAGGCAGATGCAGGGAGCATTGAATGAATCGTTATGGTGCCGCTCGTCACGAAAATCTATGTGCGTATACATTTGTAGCTGGTCAAACGGGCTGAATTGTTAAAAGGGCGCAATAAATAGTGTCAAACCTTCATAGATCCTTGGCGTGCGTAGCTATATATATGTGAGAACGAGTGATATTCTGTTGATAGAAGTATTTACTGCTGGCATAGAGCCAAGTTAGTAATTTTTTGGTCTTCTCTGCTGGCTATAACGGTTCCTTCGTCGGGGTCGTCCATTTGAGCTTTGTTAGAAATGCCACTTGCGACCAACAAGGCCAGTTTTGATCGTTGATCCAATGACGCAAATTTCCTTCTAGCACACGTATTTTACTAGAATATATTGAGTACAAATCTATGCTGTTTACATTGTTGAAGCAAAAGAGAAACCTTTAAAAAGCTTGTAGTGACTTCGATTGGCATTGATGGGGATAGCGTGAAAAGTCAAATAGGAAAGTTTGTCCGATCCATTACTTATTTCAAATTTAACATATTGAGTAATACATATACCTATCTAAGTAAATGTAAATAAGTGAAATCTACGCTTTCAGTTACCTATGTGTAGTTACCGTTATTCGAAATACGCCCTAAATTGTGTGCTTGTATTACTTTTTCTAAAACATTCCGCAAAGATAGATGAACGCTAGTACATCGATTAATAATAAACTGCGTTCAACATTCGTAGGGGTTGAAAAGCTATACTGTTGTAAAATGTTTTACTATAAACTATATAGATACAGAATACCGCTGTTCAGGCAGATATATACAGCAGTGTAAGGTTCCCCTAAGAAAATAAGTAACGTCGGTACTGCAACGGTTATATAACGAGATACAGCATCCGGCCGAATATATACTTACGCCCATCACATACGATCTTCGACAGCTGACGCTGCCCCCCTGGGGCAGTAATAATGATAGCTGACGAACGACGTCAGCTGCGGAGGATATCAGCCCAGGAAAGCGCGTGCCGTCAACGAGTACGGATTTTTCTACTATTCAATTTGTCATTAAACACGAATCTTGTTCCATTACTGCTTGGTGAAATTCGTTCGCTTGAAAAAAATTAGCGTCTCTTTCTGTAAGTATGGCAGCCGATTCCATTAGTCTGGAAGAGAATGGACATACGTCAGCTATTAAAACATGCTTAGCTAAACGAGTCGTCATGACTTTGATGTCCATAAAAGTCCCAACTCGATATTTTCTGTTGGTTTCATTAAGAAGTTTAACAGAAAAAACGTCCACCGTAAGTTTCTGCTGTTAATCCAAAGACCTAGGCCTCAATTAACTTGTATCGCTTTCATTGGTCACTTGCTCACTGAGCCGTACCGAAGAAGAACATAAACTACCGTACCGTCGAACACAGATAGGTCTGGGAAAATAGGGATCTGATAGGGTCTGGGAAACATTTCAAAACATGAAGTAATCTATATGATACACTAAGCTTGACGATCCTCCTGCACAATTATAGTATTACCGTTGAAACAAGTGATCTGATCCTAATAAACACTACATTATGTAAAAGCAGCTTATTTATGTCACGTTTTTTTTTTTGTATATAGTGTAACATCTCCTAAAATGCGTAGCAACCCGGGTAGGACGCTGTGACGACAATGCGACTACAGCACAGGTGACTGTAAAGAACAGTTTGACATTTTTTTTTAACACTACTGATCGTGATAATGCAGTGATAACGTGTCGGCTTACCAAATTTAGGGACACATGGTTATTTACGTTTAAAAGAGGGTACGAATACGCAATGTTTAGCGTTTCAAGTACCGAACGAAAAACTCGAAATATATATTTAGCTAATAATAGACATATTATTCTAGCTTTATATAACATGTAATTATATATAATATAAAGCTATAAACGAATACATAATTAATAAAAAGGACGTTTTAACAACGAATCATTGAATTGTTGTCAAAATAAATAAGCCCAGCGTGCTCATTATCTCCGACCCTATTTTACTACGAATTAAGTTATTAGCGATAATTTATGCGCTCGTACAAAATTCGTCCATATGTTATATATACTCAGTGAAGAAAATCAATTCAGATTCCACAAAGCAGTTTGTTTTAGGCAATCTCATCAATGGTGCCCTTCCTCCTGTAGACAGCACTCTAGCTTGCCAGTCGCTTTTAGTGCTGCATAAATAATTATCTATAGAGATAACATTGATAATAGAACAACAATGTAATTACCTTCCAATCAAATGAGTGTAAACTCGTTAGTAAAAATACTATGGTGTGGACATTTGGAGAGATGCGGTCTTAGACTGGCACACTACTTGTCTGCTAGGCCAGAAGTGCATGTCACGGTAGCGGTGCAGGCCTTTTGCGCTGGCAGGACCCTGCCGTCTGAGGCAATTTTGGCAGTACCAAGCAAATGTTTACATTGGTTAATAGAACAATATTATATCGTTGTTCTCTGTAAGAACATCCTAGTCACTTTCAGCAATAGCGACCATCCTCTGAGTATAGCAGACGCCACCAAAAGCCTCTACTTTTCGAAGTATTTCTTTTTGCAGGGATTATATAATAGATCCGGCAACCATGATTAGAATAATTAAGATGATCATAAGTGTTAGTATGTTGTTTCCATTTCAGCATTGTCATCACGTTTGCCATTACATATGTTGCCAGTTTAGTAAATCGTTTGTCTATGTAGATAAGGTCTTTGCTTGACAAACAGTACGATTCTAAGGAAAAGTGCGGAATATGAAATGTGTTGACTTGTCTAGATGAACTGAAATTGTGGCGAAACAGTATGAAGAGTAGTTACATCAAAATTAAATACTTAGAGAAAGAAAAGCAATTTAAATTTCCCGCCAATTTTACACATTACAGTTTGCATTAGCTTAGAAGGGACACAGTAGAACTTGCAGTAGTACCTTTTCTTTGTCATACCTAAATGTTTCGAGCCTCACGTCCGGGAGCGCCACTGGGCCGTCGTTGATCACATCTGCTATAGGTTAACAGACTTCTGCTGTTTTGCATACGCATCGTAATATATTAATAAAATTACAATACTCGAAAGCGTTTTTAGAGATCGATTTGTCAAAGACCATAGCTGTTCCGATCTGTGAGAGATGTCGAATCGAGGAATAGGCAGCTGAAAGCCGTGCTCAAAATGGAGAAGTTGCCACATAGTCTCTTGTGTAAATCTTCAATTACTTCAGTTGCTGCAAATATTACTAATAATAACTATAGCGGCTATATCAGACAAATCGAATGTGTAGTCTCTTAAGCAGGATTGCCTGAGATCCCGTCATGAGTGTTTCATCTAGACGCCTCCGCACAATTCGTCCCCGTCATGGGGACAAGGAAATAGAAAGGTCGATTAAAGGAACGCAAACCAATTTGGTCACAGCCGTACCTTGCCACGCTTCGTACACAATGAGACAATACATAAACTTTGCCGTTTCCCAGATGAAGGACCTTTTGTACCCAAATCAGCTCCACGATAGTTTGGCAGACAAATGCCGGACGAACAAGCCAGAACTCGCTGGTCACTTTGACCACTAAAATTAAAACAGATTTGACAAAGCGACTGGTGTCGTTAGGAACTCGCTACATCACCCTCTTCAGTGGGACATTTTGTAGAACCAACGTTCTCTACTGGGTAAACCTCGTGCTGTCAGTACCCTACAAGGCTCATAGCGATTAGCTGGATGGTGTTACCCGAGTACAGATGCACGCAATTTCGTCTTTTGACTGACATTAATTTATTGTCATCGGAAAATGCCCCGAACGAGCTTTATTATACACGCATTTTAGCTGTAGTCTTTGCCAGAAAGTGTAAAGTTTTCAAGTTGAACGTTTCAAGTTCTACGCGTTTCTCACAGAAACTTTTTACTGTAACTTCTGAATTAGTCATAGCATCTAAAATTCGACACTTTTTTAATTAATTAAATGCTTACTGATATTTATTGTGCGTTTGGATTACGAAACATCTACTGAGCGCTTATTCTGGAATGATTTTAAGAACAACCAAATTCTAAATAATTTGATTAATTCAATATAACGTAATATTTGTTATATATATAAGTTAATATCACTCAGTATGAGTGATAAACCTTACCATCTCAAATCTACTAGCACAATTTTTTCCAAAACTGTCCACTTATATAGAATTTGCCCGCAGTTATTCTTTCCACACATTATTGCCACCAGAATCCTTTTCTATACCTTTTTTTTTAATGTAAATATATTTATTTATTTATATATATAACGGCTTCTTTAATTTAGACAGTTTATTGAAATTAATATACGTTTCAATGTATATGCGATAATAAAAATAATTGAAAAGCATATTAATTTCAATAAACTATCTAAATTAAAGAAGCCATTTTTTTTGCAACATATATATATATATATACACTATCTCTTCTTGAGATAGCGTACTAGCCAATTTACACCAGATAGAGGGCGCCCGAACCGTTCTTGTCGTATGGTAAAAGCAAACTTTTGCAGACCACAATAAACATTATAACTGATTGAGCCACTTGCAAATACTATATCTAATAGAGGCGTCATTTGAAATGAGCACTACTCTACTTCGTGTGTGTTCTAAACAGGGAGAAGCTATATCCAGGACGGTAGCGACGGCGGTGTCTCCAGGGAGGGCAGATTAACGCATAAATAAACACTGATATACGGCGTGTCTCGCGGCGCATCTATGACTCGCTTGACCATGTCATGTGTTCTCGGACAACATTGCCTTAAGCGTCCATTAATTACGTGGGATACACCAACTAGTTGGCTCCATAGCATGGTATACTACCGCTCTAAAGTAATCCGTCATGCGATCTGGCCACCTTCCCCCTCGAAATGGACGCGGCTAGCGACAAAACGGGGCCAAGCAACGTATGCTTTAGCCCTAAACACACAACGTTCTTTTATAATGAAACCAGTTAGCTATTGTAGCTTACTGATCTGCTCCAACTACTCCAAAACCAGTACATTATGTCTTCGTAAATGTTCGTTTCTTACTGTCGGCTTATGGTACCAATAAGTTGCTAGCCTATCCTGCAATTCATTAGATATATGAATACAGAATATTCAAAGTGCCAGAAAAATTCGTTTGCCACTGTGCAAGAAGCGTGGTAATTCGGCAATAGGAAACAGTGCGGCCCTTGGAGGAAACGGCTTGATTCATTAGAAAAAAAATCCACTCATCGGCCCTGATACTGATGAAAGGGAAGGAGAGTCTAAACGAAATCGAGGCAGCACCCGAACCCGGTTAACCGCCTTCTGCTGCTTAGGCCATCTTAAAGCCAAATCGTTATTCAACCTCTGAAACGTAACTGGCCTAGTCGATGAAACGAACTCAACCCCAAACAGGATATACAGCCCAGTGGCTGATTGCACTACATCTGAGGGCTGACATCGTGTCATAATGCTACGACAACTGAGTAGTGAGAGCCAAGGTGCACTGAGCCAACGTAGTGCGCCCGTACAAAAATATGATTGACTTAAAAGGCTGACTTATTGATGATGACTTACAAGGCCTCCGATGCCACTGTTCGAAGGGGACGCTAATAAGCAGCGTCTGCGTTTTCGGGGAAACATTTCAGCGCGCGAACTTCATTCTATTCAACTATTAAACAGGAAGTGTCAAATGAAATGTTATGTCAGAGTTTTTAGAAATTGAACTCGAATTTCGGTTGTGAATGTCCTGCGGCGGGTTTTTTAAATATAGTGGAAACTGAATTTGTTCAAGGAGTGCAATTCGTTCGCAAGTAACAGGTACTAATCAGAGAACAACATTTCATCATATGGTTGATTTCTCACACAGATTATGGTAACCAACTATGGATATCAAGCAGGCGGTTGATGGATAGCTGGTTGATGACTGATCCTTGCCGTCAATACCCACGACTAGCAACGATTCATTTGGACGAAAGCTAAGCTGGCCAATGTAACAATGGCTACTGCTGGAGAAGGTAATTTGTCAGAAGGAGCCGGATTCGCGAACAATTTCGATAAATATGTCCCTGGAAGAAATCTTACAATGAGGCATAGGTAGGCCGACGACCTGATCTGAGCGTTCGCAAACAAACGAAATCCGAATACGCGTCACACAAGCTAAGCCAAAGGGCTAAAAATTATACAATGTGTTTGGTTTCGTAATTGCAATATAGGCGTGCGACGCATCAATGCTTGTAATAATAGTAACATTCGAGACAGATTTCGTGCTAACATGTACACGTGGGTTACTTAAATTGATACCTATGACCGGTTATTTGGGCGAGAGCTAATGAGCAGCGTTGAAGAAGCTGTACACATTAGTACGGTATTTCAATTATTAGAAAGTAGAAACTACTCTATACCAGTAGTTATCGGCTAAAGTTTATCTATCTTTCGCACATCACTAATATTGTAAAGTTAAATGTACAGTAACTTTAAATTATATCTCATATGGAAAAAGTTAAAGACCTTACAACAACAATATCTATATACTGTAACAATACAATTGTCCGTGTGCTCTACCGAGTCAATTTAACACAATATAATTAGAACGGGATACGATTAAGATATAATAGAATGTTAGACACTATAAGATTCCAACTACAATAAACGATATAAATTGCTCAGTATCGAGCAATGCAGTTGACCTTTAAATACTGCACCATGATACTTTTCATCGCTTCTAGAAATAATTATCTTCAGGACCGTAGTGGTCTGGCACCGGGCAGGATACGCAACAGAATCCGGGAAGCGCATATTGAGTGCGGTATGATGGTCCATGTGCGCTCTGTATTTTTTTCCACGGATGCCTCCGTTTGATAGAATGCTAATGTTCTTGTAGGACTGCTAGACTAACTAGGTATTTTTGAATGAGGCACGATACCGAAAAACTCATCTTAAATATGTAGGTTTTACGTGGTCAGAGTCTCGAAACTGCTTCAACCTTAAGCGCTTCAAGATTTTCGGTCACCTTTACGAATTTACTCTCTTAAATTACTTTATGAAATCATTGCGGATCTTTTTCTCGTCGCTCCCGCCATCGTGCTTTAGAGTTTCAAGCGATCGTGACCGATGAATAATAAGCACCCGCGGCTGCTAATCAGATAGCTTTGACAAGAAGTTTTTTTGTTTCAGCTTCGACTGCACAAACCGCTCTCACTATTATCATTCAATAGAAATGCATAAACGTCGTTGTCCAGTAAGTGACGCGCGCCGTTGACGCTATCGCCTCACTCGAGCATTGATACGCCCCATTTGCTATCTCTCACACAGTGTCGGCATCGCCGCTACCTCCGGTCGTCAGTTCCTCCACCCACATATATCGCATGATACTACAAGAAGATAGATTCGCAATAACGTGCGTCACCAGGAACGATTACATATATCGAAATCTCCTCGTTTCGTGTAATCAATTTGTTCTATAATGTTTTACACTCGACATTTTTTTGATATCTGACAACAAACGATGTGATTTCAGAGAGGTGTGTTTTTCCAGACTAGAGGCACTGATATACACGCAAGACTGACACTTCGGCTCACCAAGTGCCAATACACAAATATGCATATGAACCTTATGTGTATAAGCTTCACTTTAGACCAAACCCTTTTCTCTCATCACAGAATTGTATAGATCCGTGGGCTCTCATCGCCATCGAGACCGTCCCTCTGACGTCCTTTGGTCTCCGAGTTGAGAAGGGTGGTCGGCTAGAAACCAGTGTTCGGTTCAAGTCTTTCGTGATATTTTCGACAGTTGTCAGCAGCAATAGCAGCTGTCAACAGCCGCAAGAGCTCTAATCCACTTACTCCTGGCGGCAATACGGAACATTGGTACTCAGCCAGTTAAAAATGGGTTTTTACCCTTTTCTATGAAAAACTACGAGGGATATAAGAATATGCAAGCCATCGGTCATTAGCCCATCGTTAAATGAAGTCGTAATGGACATTGTCTGTTTATGGAAAGCCTGTAGCAAAATGTTTTAGTCGAAATAGTGTAGGGCAGAACAGGCTGGAAAGGACTTCCACGTCCATGTGTCAGAGGGTCCGTAACCCATTAAGCGAGAACGAGCACTCGAATCGTTGTTATTTGCAGTGTTTCATCCGACGCTGTAGCTGTCGTGGACGTTGTATGATAAATTTCAAAAGAAAGTACGGGCGTTATGGTGACTGCGTCGTGCAAGCGTTAAACAGACGGAGTTGCTCAGTCGTAGGAATAAAGCTGAAGAACAGAAAGAATAAGTAATAGGTTATTTTTTCAGTCAGGATAGAGCACAAATACTCGGTATGTTAACAGGTAGGTAAATTCAAATATGACTAAATATTTTATGTTAGTTTGTATTTTGTAAGATTACGCGAGCCTCTCAATAACAATTGTGTCGCGAAATGTGATAGTGATGTTAAAACTTTGCGTTGATGAATATAAATTTATTATCTCCTAATATGAGTGTTCTATCTTTCGTTTTTGCCCTAACAGTAAAAATGATTTAACTGACTCGGTTTTGACGTTTCTAGACGACGCCGTATTTCCATTTAGGGACCTCGTAGCAGTATCGCACACGCTGATCTATTATCAAATGTGTAAATGCATATTTCTATAAAAGTTGTGTTCCATAAATAAGTGTGGCCAACGTAAATTAAATCGTACTGCAAAGTAAGTTATTAGGTAATAACTTAAATATAATTAGTTCATTACCTCCACACAAGGTAGCAAAACAGGCTCGACACGAAACTCTCAGGTAGCGTCTGATTCACGTCCTATGTACTGATTATTGATCAATTCAGTAATCTTTTACACAAACACTTTCATTGAAATAAGTCATCTATCTGCCATTAAACGTTGCTGTCGGGAAAGCAGCACTCAATTTTAATTTATTGCTTAGGACACACAGCTGTCCCTGTCAGAATGGGCCTCTTCATCCGGACTGCATGTGCTGTAGGACACAATAAACATGTTAAGATCTTAAGTATCTCGTGTCCGCGATCTCTCCGATAGTCCCAAAACTGACCTGACCTGACCTGACACAAAAAAAAAGTAAAAAAACGAAAAATCTGTCCTACGGATAAGAGTAAATAAACACTTGATAGACTTCCTATAGACGCAACATATGTAGAAGTACTGCGCTACTCGCTGCGAAGGCTGTAGTATCCGGAGTTCGGCGTGTCTGATAGGTAGCCCTACAAGAAGCTAATTGAAAAAAAAAAACTTAATCAAGCTTTATTAAAAAGAAACCTTTTCTAAAAATGAATTTATATTGGTAATATCTTACCATGGCCATTAAATACGTCTGACGTGTTTTTCTGCCTTATGTCTTTAACACAGAATATTTAATTTCTAATTACAAATCAATATCTTACTATACAAACATAAAAAGGAAGTAAATGTTTTCTTTTTAATTAGAAAAGTTGTCTTTGAAACGTATAACATACTATTGCGAAAGTCCTAGCAAAAAAAACACTCATGTTTCGGGAAACTAACACTTCACAGAAAATAAAGAAAAGGCTTAACATCGTTTCAAATACTTTTTAGATTTTTTAACTTATTTGTTATTCTATCGCCTTCGATCTATGGGTTTGCCTACATACAAAATAGAAAAAAAAAAGGCTCACTTAACATATATGTGTATACATATACATGTATATTTTACGTGACTGGTGCTTTCAGCATTTACAGAAAATTTCAGCTATACCCGCGCGGTCGCTTTGATATCATTTCACGGCAGGCAAGAGCGAAACCTGGTTTAATGTATGAGATTATTTTTAGGTTGTTTTCGTCCGCAGGTCGCTGGACGCTTAGAACGACCTGATAATCTATAAAGCGAACTTCTGATTCAGGTAGCTTGCAGAAACTGATATGAGAAAACGTCTTTTGTTAACCGTAGTCAGGATCTTTGTGATTTGTCCATATGGTAACTTGTTCAAGTTAACAAAAATCCAAATAACAAAAATTACTGCAAGCGTTTATTGTGACCTTACCTTTTGGCTGGCCGCTGTAAAGCTTCATCGCGGTAAAATTAGCGTGGTGAAGGTCTGCTTTGGTGTTATTATTAATTTCTGATAAAATTGAAAAGCTATTAGGTTATTTCGGAAGTAATGATGGTATCTGTTATCGCGTCCTTTTCGACTCTTTTTTCGTCTAATAATAGCTAAGTATTACACACACTTGGAAAGCTTTTCGTTGCCTTAGAAGGGGCTTGTGGATGGAAAAATTTGTCCTTTGCTTAAAGCTCTCAAGATGGGTGTTTCGGATTGAGAGAGGCACTGTTTTTCATGCTTACTATTTATCTTTGACTAAGAACGAAAAAAAAGCTGACGCAGCAGGCTGGACTAAGTTTGCTATGTATGACCAAGGCCCTACAGACCCTGAACATGCCACTTAATAAAAGCGGCTCAACCATATTTAAAAATGATACCTTAGCTCTAAAGGATACACTGCATTGAAACTTTCAAATTTATCGAGAACCATGTTGAGCACCTTTTGGAAGTTGGTCATTTATAAATAAGCCCAAATCTCTTAGATATGAAGTTAGCTATACAGGGTCCGCTATATATAGAACAAATATCATGAGTTACGTCGTTAGTTTTTGAAGCTGGGGAGAATGTGAATAAGACCGGAGTCGGAAACGCTGTTTATGACTAGGCAACTTGAATAAGTTGCCTAGCAACTCTTCGGAGCAAAGACCAGGTTTTGTCATCTGGACAAAACGACGAGAGCAAAAATAGGCCTCTATAACAGTATTGCTACACTGGGAGATTAGCGAACAAAATACAAATGGGCCTGTAATAAACAAGGCCCGCCGATGCTTTTCAACCTATCTGAAACGCAATACTGCATTTGCGAACTATCGTAAAAAGAAGAAATGAGCTTTCCGTTCAAAAACAATCGCTTCGAAACCCACAAACGGGACAAATCTGTAATCTGAAGAAGAATGACCATGTCTAACGAGCAGTCCGAAAACAGGTTGAAGTCGCCAGATCTGGCATTGATTCAGTTAGAGAAACTTTAAGTTTCCTCTTACCCAAATCATTTTGAATAGCTATAATTAGCTCATAGTCGAGATATAAACATGGCTAATTAACCGAACAAATGTATTGAATGTTCTAGAAAAAGATATTTTTCTTATTTATCACTTCGCCCAAGTATACATTTCCCTATTCATAATCTACCGTTTATTAAAATGTAGAAATTAGGTACTTTTGTGTTTTTAAACAGCCGCACCTGGGTCTTTATTATATTCTGCTTAAAGAAAATTTATCCTATTATGTGGAAAGTACAAGTTCTGTATTTCACGCATCGATAATCTAACTCACAAGTAACTCCTTCTCCGATCGTTGCTGAACTACATTGATCTGATACCAGCTAACCTCAAAAAATCCCTTTGAGTACCTCTATAAGGAGCAACATAAGAGCGTAGTAAAGCCAGAAATATTACTTTATTTACATAATTTTGTGAATAGTTTTTCTAGTTGCATTTCTGTAGGTAACGAGTAATATATAGATATTCTACTAGAATTCATTATACTTCTCAAGCTGTTTTAGCTATTAGCCTGCCTTTTTTTCACAACCGCAATATTAACATTTACTTAATTCGTCTAATACTGGACGTCAGCCTTCTACCACTAAAAGCCCCCCTGTATCTGTAAAACGCCATATGCTAAGGACAAACAGTGGATGCTTCACTATTTACCTTCTATAACAAGTACAAAAAGAAGAAAAAAAAACTAATTTATTGAAGCTATAGAGTTTTGTCTCAGGCCAATTTTGCCGTTGTGTCCGCTATTATTGTTCCAGCTTTTCACTGTTGTTATTGCCCGCTTGGCATCGTTGCTCCGGCTGCCAGTTTCTGTGTTGCGTAAATACATGACACACGTTAATTTCTGCTAGCGAACCAGCAGCTTCCGATGTTCCCTCACAGCCGTCACCCCGAAGAGACTCATAGGGCGTGACCGTTACGTGTCGTTTCTACTCGAGATCTTCAGACCTGCATAGTCTTAGACCTGATACAATGCTCGGATCGTAGTAACTATCGGTGATCGTTGATTTATACCACTTTAGTTTCTCTACAGTTACACTGTGGATCCATGCATCGAACAAGCATAAACACGAAAGAAGAACGAACGACGAAAATAAGTTAAGGTTAGATATATTACATTACTGCTTTCGAGTTGACTGTGGCTTAAACCTGTGCTGTAGTGCTTCGTAGTACAGAAAGAAGAGTCGTAGAGCGTTGTGCGATATCGCCTGGGGTAGTCACTTTTTTTGCACCCGTTTGACGGTCGGTTTGCGTTGTTACTGCCCCCAATAACTGCTGTTGCATCCACGTTACTTGCTCGGCGCTTGATGGTGTTACCCGTCATCGTCGTGCACTGCCATTGGCTTGTACTATACTCGGGTATTCAGTCACCGGAGCGCTGACAACTGGTGTTCCTTCTGCCTATTGCTGCCCATTGCGTCATGACGCCTCACGTCGCCAGCAATGATGAACTGACTGAAGTGGAAAGACGATGAATGAAGTACAAGGTCGAGTCTATTACGGTGGGTACCGCCTGCTAGTCGAATCAGCTAGCAACAGAAGAATAAGTGAGACTTCTTTTTGTCTTGCATAAACTTATATAGAACAGACGTATTTAGCCAATAGAACATCATACGTGGCGCTGTTTATACAATCTAACGTGCTTCGTCGTTGGCGTGTGTGTATATGTGTAGGTGCGGGTTCGAATCTTTTCTGTGAAGTTGCCCTTTCCTTTCTTTTTACATAGTGAGAAGGACGTGATGGATGATGCGTAGTTTCATCAGAAACAGTATTTGTCTGGCGTTAGACTCCGAACGAAAAGCGGGTATCTATTTGCGTATCGCAATACTCGTGGATTGTGTTCGATATCGAAGAGACATTGAGGAAAATGCTTGCTGAAGCGGCGCGCCACAAATATAGAATGATGAATTATTACTTATCGCCGAGTTGCTTGCGTTCGGTAGGAACCTGTTTTTTGAGGTGCAACCCAAGGAAAAGGATGAGCTCATGCCAATACTCCATATCGACTACAAACGTTAAATGCCTCGGGTTTTACGTCCGATACTTAAGCCGTTAAACACTGCTTCGGACGTCTGGTCCTTCCAGTACAAAATGAAGTGTTTTTGCACACAGATTCGAAACTAGCCTACCACGTATACATAAATCTAGCAGGCAAATACGGCACTTAAACACAGAAAAACAAGACCACAAAAGTCAAGTTCTTAGCATTGCTTAGTGGCCAACAAGAATAGCTAGACCGATCTCTCTGTTTAAACAACGGATTTAACACACCATCTGCCATATCACATTGAGTGAATGAAATAGTCTGCTGCCATCATATCGTGCCATTTATATTAATCTAATTTAATTATAATAGATACAATCAATATATACTACATGCCCTATATTTAATCACTAATCTAGAAAATACAGTGATAGGAGAAAGAAACAGTTCATTTAGATTATACCGTGTCTATTATCTGTTGCGCACTAATTATAATAAAATTTTAACATCAATTGTTATAAGAATTTACACATAGTATATTATATTGCTCGCTTCGGATCAGCTAACTGTAACAGTTATCTGAAGTCATCTGATTATGCAACACTGTAATAGGCTTAGGAGGAGTAGTACGAGGTACGAAACATTAAATTCGGGTCCATGACATTACACGGTGGCATCGATAAACAGCAACAGTAGCAGCAACAACAGCCAAATCGATCTAGTCTGTTCATTGCTAGGGTGCTCTTTGATTAGACCCAATGTTTATGTCTGATCCGAGTGAGTTACTCTCTAATCAGTAGTAGCCCCTCCCTGAATCCTCAGACTCAATCATCGATCACGTGTCCATGTGTATCTAAACCTCGTGACGAGGTCGAAGACAGTCAACAAATCGCTCATGCCGATGCTGTCGACTGCGTTGCTACCTTTCCATTAGAAGCCAATAGTAACACAGCTCTGTGTGTATTCAGTAAACTAGACGCCCCTCCGCGGCGACTTCGAAGCTCGCAGTGGCAGCTGGAACAGAAGAAACAGCGACAGTCGCTCGGCGCTGGATAACAATTCACCTCGGGACACCGCCCATTTGAACTTGCCAGCGCTGTTGGCAATACAACCACGATAAAGCCTGGGCAGGCCAGTGTATCGCCGAAGGCGGCCGGCACTTTCTGACCAACAGAAATTCACAGATTTCTGTTTAGATGCTTTTCTGTTTCTATCATCTCCGGCGTGTGTAATTTACCATTGCAGAAGCTCTTTTGATCCGCTGCCCATTGACTCGGTCGCTGACTTAGTCACTCGCTAAACTGTGCCTATGGAACGATCACATGTTAGCTGCTCCTACCTAGATCCTGAATCAGCAAGGTAGATGGCCCCATATCTAACTTCCTAAGGGTGGGCACCACATCCTTTCATGGTACTCACTGAAGCTGATGTTGGTTTCGTTTGTTTTGATCATTTTCTGCAGGCAGAGGCGGCAGCCCGCGTTGCATGAGGAGGAACTTGGCGCGACTGTTTGTGAGTCGTTGTAAGTACTCGGATAATGACGATGTACTGATCCGTTGGATGATCATTGATTATACGCGTCAGTGCATGATCTTCAGTGGAGCGTTTGATTGATGGATACTGTGTTGTGGAGAGCTTACGTTTTTGTTACAACATACACCAATAATGAAACTAGTGCGCGCTCGACGCCATAAAACGGCTAGATAAGAAGTAAAATCTATTTTAGTACCACTTGCATTAGCTAGCATCGTTAAGTTGATACACTTGGGTGGTTAGGTGACGGTGGCGGCTTACGGCTCTCAACAGTCGGGTGACCTTTGCCTGATACCTGATTGACTCCTGTTGATGACGAACTCTCAAACGATCAACAGTGAAACTTCTGCCTAATTCAAATAGCACGAATACACAGGAAGTGTCGTGCATTTAAACAACGTCAACGACACTGACGGAAACGCAAATGCATATCGTATCTCATCATGTTGGCAGGCCACCTGCGATTGACACCTCTTCAATAGTACATGCAGCCAAATCGGTCATAGGGACAAACAGGGTTTGTAGCTAGTTGACGTCAGCGCCCGTTAATATCCCGAACGATTATAGTACTGACTGATTTGGAACAGCGTATGACAAACAAACAAACAACTAAATGGTACTACCTTTCAAGAGTAGACTGTCTGGGACGAATTAGTCTGAGCATCAACATCAAACGACTATCAAGGTGGAAAGTAGTAACAAAAGGAAAAGTACGGCAACGCGTTAAAAGTGCTTACAGTGGATAAGACAATTTGGGGTGTACAATCTGGTGTGCGGTCGTGTACGTGTGGATACAAGCTCCCGTTAGCTCCAGGATAACAGTGATTTCATCCACTATTAGTACTTGGGTAATTGCCAATAGCAACCCGGGAAGAATTGGCAGGAGAACACCACCGTTATAATGAATGGTAGTGATGTAATGGACTACGGTGAATTACCACAACTCGAGGTAGATGACAATGATGACGAGGAGTACGACTCGAACGCATGGGGTAGGATATACCTAAGGGGTGGGTGTCTTCAATAGAACGGAGAGCTGATATTTGCAAAATGAATTTTATATGATAGGTGCAGAGCAGTTGAGGTTCGAGAGAACTGAACCGCGACACCTGAACGTTATACCTATAAATGAATGATAGGCTTGTGTTATTGACGTGCTTGTTAGGTAGTAATGCTTCGGCAGGAACTAGGATTGCTATCTAATGATGCTGTAAGGGAATTTTTCTATATCCGACGCATTATTGAACGCTATATTCTACTATAAACTGTTGCTTGTGTAAGAATCGTTTAAGCTTATGTGGTTTTTAATAGGCATAATTCATCTCATATTTTTCTTATGTACTATATTGGTTAAAAAGTTTCCGGCGTCTTTTAGCTACTTGTAGTTTATTGCAATTTGCGAACAATAAACACATTTAGTCGAAGTAGTGTCTTACGGGTTCTGCCCGTCTTTCTAGCAGCTGATACATCCCACAAAGTAAAAAGGCTTCGTCCTTGAAAGCGATCCACTCATCGACCTGTTTGCCCTTCTGACTACGGTGCTTTCACCAAAACAAGTGATATTCACATGGAGCGATGTCGGAGCTGTACGCTAGGCGGGGCAGAGTTTTCCATCGAAGGTCCTTTAATTGTCATTGGGTCACCGCTATAGCGTCGTTATGCGGCAGTATAATTTTTTCGTTGCCCTTCGCCAGTTCAAGCCTTTTTTTCTGATAATTCCGTAACTCAAATATATAACTTGATTTGCGCAACGGTCTCCTGTAGTACGTTCCGGGAATCCGAGTAGCCTTTAGTATAACACCCTTTTCTCATCCCAGCATATACATAAGTGCAGCTATTAGCCATAAATGCTTCTTTGTGGCACCGAACTGAAGGAGTCTAAACGCCACGATTTGCCATTGGGGATGTCGCAAACGATAAATCTCTCATCGCCGATAACGATTTTGTACAAAAAAAAAAAAACCTTTTTCCTTTTTTCTGTCCTGCAAGCAACAAAAGGCGTATTGTAAACCACTTTGTTGAGTCTACGAGAATCCACTTTTCTTTCCTCGAAACATTCTCTGGGTGTGCAGAAGGCTCTCAGATGCTGCCTTTCACTCCTGTAGCCATCCAAAGTGTGATAGAAGTTAAAATTTTTGGTTCTCTCTAATAAAAATTACCGCACATTCGTAAGCAGTTTGCTCACTTTTCCCCAGCATGCGTCCAATGCGTCAGGTGTGCATGTTTTTAAGTTCTACGACTGAACCAAATAAGCGCTTCTAACATCTGCATAAAAACAGGCCACAGTCCGACAATGAGAACTTATTATCCTGGCATACGGTTAGGTGCTCCGATGCGAGCGCCATTTGCTAGCTCTTTTTACTTAAGAGGTACAGCATGATGAGGTCAAACTGACTACTTGAGAATAATTATAATTCTCTAGTAATGAACTCGATTCTCCCAAAAATTGATTTGCGCTACTTCGAGCATTGTTTGTACAGACCATTGTATATGTGAGGCATTACTATCACGAAAAGTTGGATTTAGTTTTTTTTTTTTGCTAAACGAGAAAAACAGGAATAGAGTGGGGTCAGCACAAAATAGCCAAATCTTCTTACACAGCTCCACTTTCATCGAACTTGATTTAGATAGGACCTATATGTTACATAATACCAAAGTCGACGTTATGTGGCGTGGAATAACGATTTTTCTAGCATCCTTTGCATTAGAACTCGATTTACTACTACCTTAACATCTAATCCACAATATGGAATATACAATGACAAAATACTGTTAAAACGTTAACGATTGATAGTAATACAGTGGTAAAAGAAAAATTAAAAACGTAGTAAAAAATTGTTAGTGCTGAATACTAGAGCTAGAAAAACTAACAGTATAGCTAAAGAATAAATAACCACTAGAGCAAGCTATTAGCTTTCATTGCCATATCATGTTATTTTTTGAAACAAGCTTGTTGGGTTCGTAGAGAAAGGGTTCCCATGTCCCTTTACTTCCTATAAACTATCAGCGTAGAGTGCAGATAGGTTAACGGTTGCTACCTTGTGAAGTGTAGCAGCTTCAACGTTTTCAAATGTTTTATTCTAGACTAAATAAGCAATATATCGATTCGCAATCGTCGAGAACGTTTACCAACTAACTTTTCAGAAAATTGATGTACGTATAATTGGAATTAAATCAGCCTGAATCAGCTGAAGGCTACCGTCTATATAGGTTAATGGAATTGAATTTGGATTGTTCAAGATTGCACCTTCGGTGATAACGCTAAGGCACCGTGAGGCTTTATGAGACGCAATAGGGATTTGAATTTAGCCAAAAACCTAGCCATTTCCGCCATGGTTTGCGTACTAAACTCAAGGAGATGGTCTGGATTCGAATTTCGGTGTGGACACATTTCGACTTGTACCTAGAGAAGCTAGCCGCTTGAAGCAGTACTTAGCAGCGGCAGTACTGAACGTTACACTAAAAACGTTAACTTATTAAGCTGAAAAAAAACTGTGGCCGCTCCACCAACGATTTGTAATATACAAAAAAATTGATTGGATAAAGAAACGCGGAGAGTAAAATTACAACTTGTCATAGCGCTAATATTTTTTATACCATTCTGCTACAATAAACCCAACGCCTGTTTACATCTGACTGCTAGAGATTGTCGCCATGATTCGAGTTTCGACGATATAAAGTCGGCAACCTGGTTATATGATAGAGATAGTGATTGGGCTTTGTGAGGAATCGACCTTAATACCTGAAAACATTTGGAAGGTAGCCTCAAAGCGAAACAACCTTGGAGAATCTTCCTTGCTGCTTGTGGGCAGAACCTAGCCGCTGTGGTAAAAATTAATAATTTATGATGTATTGAGCATATGGAATTGGAAAATCCATAATTTAAGTTACGATATACTGCTCGTACAAAATAACTTATTGAAGTTGGTTTACCACAAAACTACTGTTTTGTAAACTATACAACGTGAGTCACGTAGGATTAGGTAAACCTAGTTCCATTATTTGTGAGAATAATGTCAAAACGCGTGTGTTAGGCTAACAGCCTACTTTTGTAGTATCTTAAGAGGAAATGACTGTGCACTTTAGGATAAAGAATGACATTTATATTAATGTAAAATAAATTTCATAATCATTTTCACTGGGACGGTTAAACATAACTTTATTGAAAAAATTTTAGAAAAATTGTAAAAAAAAAGATGCTCTAAGCATAACAGCGTCAATATTTTGGACAGTTCGTATTGATAAGGGCTCGATGTTTAAGTAGTGTAATAAGGAAATTTATTTAAGATAAACCAGTCAGTTCACTTTATCGCTAATCATTATTCGTTTCCTTAGCTAACCTACACGAACGTCCAACCATACAGATAGCAGACGACATCTTTTTAGAAATATTACATTATACCGAGTCAGGTTTTCTTTCTCCAAGGGCTCTGGCATTGCGGCGCCCTAACTCGAAGTACTTATGGTGCAGTACAAATGCTATTATCTTAACATACGTTTGTGTTTTACATCCGAATCTGTGTTAGTAGTGCATTAGACATATTCGAAAAATTCGAAGTAATTCATTATATTTTTAAAGCTTCAAATTCACCCTATCCGATTTTAACGGTCACCAAATGGGATTCGATATTTCAACCTATACATATTAGAGTATTTAATGGCCGCGTGATTTTCCGCAGTAAGACAACTGTGGAATGCGACAAGCGATCAATGCAGAAATCGCGCCTAAATTGGAGAATCATCTCCTCTGATTTCTTTATAGTTTGGATCTAGCTTCCCTTTACGGCGAAGCAGATTTTGAGAGAACGAAACTGATTATGTTCTCGTATAGCATATGCTTCATTCTCTTCCCATTCGTCCAGTGAAAAGAATCGGGCAGCGAAAAATACCCAATAGAAATACTTATTAGTGCTGGTTTATGGCGACTGGTTAAGAGTCTTTCGCGCGAGATGCGTTTAGTGTCGATAACGGATAGCTATTGGACCTCGGCTGACCCGCGTCCTGGTATAGCTCAGACTGTCCGATTCTGAAGTCTTTTGGACGTTACTATGATAACCGTATGATGTGCGCGCTTGGCCTTATAGTCACACAAACCTCATTTCTTTACATGTGCGTTAAAATCACAATCCACAAAGTCATCGCTCGTTGAAGGATGTTGATTACTGCAGTCTTTGTCAACTTTTTGTGTGCATATGTGTAGGTAGATTTCACAGCCCGATTCGAGCTTCACAGCCCAAGCCGCAAGTGGAAATACAAACATGGAGGCCTATTTAGAAAAACTTGATCATGCGTATCAGGGAGCCGAGTTCTAGAAATTTTCAAACAGAAAATTTGCTACCTCTTCCTCGCGACAAAATCATTCAAGCAGCGCTGGACTGGTGTCACAACTACTACAAGCGTTTGAGGTTTTTCCCATAAAATTTGCCCAAAATTGTATAACGACAGTGTCGATGTCCAGTACGTATATCTATCTGAATCAGATATTGTAATAAGTAAAGAATAAGTTGTCTGATTAGGCACAGAAATATCGGCTAGTGAAATTGGGCGTAGGCGATAGCCAATCGCGACGCTCGAAAGGTTGATCGAAGGTAGCTGTTCAATGGAACGATATCTAGCACGACGACGCTTTCGTCTTATGCATACAGAGCACGCCGCCAGCGTAGGTCGTTTGTCTGCTATGCTTAGCTAAGCCAATGCCGAACATGCGACGCGGAACATTTTATATACAGGAATTTCTGTTTCTCTTGTGACATCAAATTCTTTTTTGAAAAATAACAAGAATTCTACGAGCAGTCGATTCTGAGACAGGTACGCTCGTTTAATTATTCATGGGTCAATATGAACCACGTGCCTCGTTATGCAATTAAGACCCGCCGTTGGGTTCGTTGAACCTTGTGAGAGAAAGGCCTAACGTCCGAGGTAATCAAGGACAGATCAGATCTCAAATAATGCAAACGCTTCTGAACACTTTCAACATTTTATTGATTATTAAAGAATATAAATAGCATGCTGTCTATAGAGCTCGATTACAACGTTGCTTTCCTAGTAAAACAACCTGGGCTTTCTAGCAGCTACTAGGTTTGTCTTGGCCCTAAACGTATGGCATTCTCGTCTGGTCAGCAGTTTAAGATTAGAGCTCGAACGGAAATTTCTGACGTTTGTCATAAATAAATACCCTAAATACTTGCATGCGCATCCAAGAGTGGACGTAACGTGGTTGAAAAGTGTTAGGGTGATTTCCTTCACGAAACTTCAGTAGAATGGTTGGCTTACGTGCCTTTAGACAAGCGTGTAAAATGCGCCCCTCATAATGAAGACCCAACGGATATCACCCTGATGTGAAGTACTGTCACTAACTAAGAATTACACACTCTACTTATATGTAATCCTCTGATCTGTTGTAACAGAATGACACAATTTAAATGACGGGTGCTTCCTATTAAAAAAACGATTACGTAGCATGCGGAGATCAGGTCGTTACATCGTAACTGCGGCTTTATGAGTTTTTTAGAGCATTAATTATACAATAGAATGATGAATAGGCTAGCCAGAGCTTAGTAAATGACGACGCTTAAAATACTTGATTTTATATTTCGCTTCAGTTAATTTACATTAATTCCCCTTAGAGCCTAAGTAGTAAAAAATGGCATTTGTTACATGTAGGATTAATTGCAGAATTGTCAATAGATTATTTTTTAACAAAGTATTGGAAGCACATAATTATGAAATTATTTCCTTTGTCGTGTGAAATCACGCCGGATTTCAATGATAATTATTGTCCTTTACAAGCAGAAGTTACACATTGATTTTGATTGCATGTTCTTGAGCACCGTAATATTTCCTTGAGTACCATTTCCATAAAAAATGAGTGAAATTTTCACGAAAAAGCATAGAATACAACATTTCAGATCCATGCCTCAGTTTATTCTTTAGTAATCTTTCGGCTAAGATCAAAACCTAGCATCTGTTAAAAATTGGTAAAAATAATCAATTATTATATTAGACCAGATTTAAAGGGTTACTTCTTTTCGAAGTACCGTTTCGAAGTAAACCATGAGTCAATGCCAGGTTACGACTCCGAATCACGAATTTAGTAGACAAACACAGGATCGCGTGGCAAGTGTGGGGAAACGCGTCCAGAAACGCGTCTAACCATTTCTTTATGAATCCAAACCCATACTTATATAATGGTCAGATTGTTTCCAAATGTATCTCAGGTGTATAACGTTACATTCACTTAGGAATATTTACTATTTAAATAGCTACTACAATCGCACCGTTTAGCTTCTTTTCGGGTTACCAAGTTAGCCAAGCAACTTTGCATAAACCTACCCAAAAAGGCCCCTATATAACATGATATTAACCAACTGCAGAATGAGAGAGTTTCATGAACGATTCTCTCTATGTTACTATGTTAGGGATGGACTTGTTTGTATTTGTTGCTAGACATCTACGTTACTAGCCTCGGCCAATGGCTATAAGTGAGAAAAAAATCAAGACCTATTTACAATATACACGCTCATGTAACGCTTCGCAATGGTAGTCGTTTATACGACTACCATTGCGAACGAAAATGTTTTAAAAAAATATATATAAAACATGTCAGCACTTGTCTTTGAAAGATGAATCGCTCGCAAAAAACGCTGCCCTCTATTTGCTTATAGTACTCAAACGTTGGCAGCTACGTAGTCTTCTCAGGTAAATACTACGTTTGATTTCTATCATGTAGAATTCCAAATATACAGGCTTTAGTGACCTCGTATTCAAAGAAAATTTACCAGATAATTAATTCCGAAACAGCATCTCCTACCAAAAATATGACCTATGTCATCAAGCTAGTAACGTAATACTATTTTTACTGTTCTAAACGACATGTATAAGACAAGCGAACTGCTCACGGCAATCAACAATCCAGCCTGTCCGCTTAAATGCTATGTGAGTTCACATTAATAGGAAGCACACTTTTCTTTTGTGATCCGTGTTCTTGCGGGTACGCAGGTGTTGACGACGGGGCGGACAGCGACCGACGCTCGAGCGCCGGTAACGAAAGAAAGCGTCAAAGATTTGGGAGCAAATTAGAAGGAATCTTATATTGCATCGGATCCGCAGTTGGACTTGGCGACGTCTGGAGATTTCCGTTTCTAGCCTATCAGAATGGAGGAGGTGAGTTAATAGTTCAGAAAAAGTGTTCGTGAGAAAGGTTTTGTTCCGCTAACGCGAACATGATCACCGTAATATATTCAAATTTGGCGCCAATTCGCCATCATACTAAAGTATGCCGTAGAACGATGCTGGATGTATTGGCTTTGAGCGGTTGCAACTCTTGAAGAATCATAAAAAATAAGTATTATAATGTGGCGAAATGAGTTAATTTCATGAAATACGAACTGCTTCGCAAGTTATCATAACACTTTGGCAAAAACATGCCGCAGGGAACAACAATTCTATGCCGAGCTCCCTGCAATCAACGACTTAACAAATCCTTATGAACTCTTGGCGAAAGAGAGCCTCTAGAAAGCATCTACAATTGCTGATGTAATCAAGGATGCGCATAAAGGTTTACGCGAATAATGGCTTGTATAGGGCTTGAGAGAAATATATTTCAATCTAGAAAAGATTTTCAGTATCATACGGAGAATGCTATCTACAGTCTAAAGCTTATCTAATCTTTGGTAGTTTTGGTAGATTTTGATCGCGTTGATTTCATTTGATCACTGTCGCTGGATTCATTCCTATTTACGCCCATATGGTCTTCAGTCGTCACAAGTCCCGTTAGCGAATTCTTTCATAAACAGACCCTATCGAAATAAGACGTTATTGTTAAGATCTGTATCTGTTGCCTTTCAGGAGCTTTTTTCTTCGCATACCTTGTGCTTATGTTTATCATTGCCATACCTCTGTACTCAATGGAGCTGGCCATCGGTCAGTTCTCAAGCCTCGGACCCATCGAAGTTTGGCGGTGTCTGCCGATAGCAAAAGGTTAGAAAATACGTTTAATTGTAGTCCTTCGCTAGTGTTGAATAATGACTCGTTTATGCACCCATGAATACTGAACAACTATACGATGACACATGTTCCCACCTGTTTGCTATTTATGACATATTTTAAGGAGATTTCCGTATAGGAATGGATTGGGAACTCAGATGCTTTTCGAGTTATTTTTTTTAGCTTAGAGATTTTTTCCTGTAAAATTAAGTTCAATAATAACTTTCGATGGAATTACTTATGTTTGACTTTGTCCTTCCATCCGTCTGCGACCTCATACATAAGTCATTGACGAACTTGAGCGACATTCGTTTCACAGCGTCAAAGCCCGGCCTTACGGAAAACGTCAGCCTTGATAGATTGTGGAAGATAAATAGTCTAGTTTTTATTGGAAATTTTTGAACTAAGGTCAATTTTACTTTCTCCCTTAGTGAGACCAGCTAGTTTTATGCACCCATCTCAGATGTAGAATATTCTCTACACCTAATTTATTTGCAAAGGTTAAAACCTTCTGGCATCGATTCTATCGCCAATGGCTTTTACCCATTGCATAGCTTTATCTCTGATGCCCCGACATCTTTCCAGTCGTCTTCTATTGCAGTTGGTATGTAATATATCCCGATGCAGACTGGTCATGAAAAGACGTACCGTAATCTTTGACTACACTTTAACAAGAGGAACGCGTAGTTGCGAAAACCATGTTAAAATAATGATAATACGACCGACTATCGCCTCCAATTTTATTAAGAGAGTAAACGATACTTCGTAGCATTCGGGTGTATCGGTACAATCGTGAAATGGCCAGTTCCATTGACAGAAAGAGCATATCATTCATTTAGGAATTGGAGTCGCTAAATACTGGGTAGGGCGCTTGGTAAAAAGTGCTGCTATTGTAGAATTTTTTTTATTAGGACAAAACAGATATCTTTGTGGATACGGCCAAGGAAGAAGATAAAGACCATGAATGTTGCCGTGTATCGCCTTCTAAGGTGTTTAATCCACCGCTTCTTGCATCTACGCTTATCTAATATATACATATATGCAGAAGGTAAATTGATATCAAATGGCTGCATAGTGTCTAGCCCACTTTGTCTGGGGAATTTCTCAGATAATCTAATTACACAAATATTCGTCATTATAAACTTTAGTTAGACATTTGCAGGATGTTGAGAAAGTGAGACAACATAATCAGTATATTTTCAAGTGGTAACGGGGCTCTGGGTTCAATTGCCAATCGTAACTGTACGATTGAATTTACCGTGTACGTACTTGAACCATATAAAATTTTAGAAAGAAAAAGGAACATTTATACTGTAATAAGAAAATGAATTTTGTTTTTTTTTTTCAATTTTAAGGAGCTCTTGCTTTGTCAAGGACCAGTCGGCACAGGATTGTGATGTCTATCCTGGTCCCTTATTCCTAGGATTTAACTCTGCGTCAGTAAAGGCGTGTATACTGACTAAGTTTTGCTATAATTATTCATATATCATTTAAGTAGCTCAAAAACTAATAGAAAAGTAGGCGCGAAGAGTACCTTTCAAGCATTGCTGGTCTTTTGTATGCTTCAAAAATAGAGATTCTCAGGTAAATGTATTGTGTATTGTAGTTTAATGTTGTAGATACATGGGCGTTAGTTAAATACAAAGAAAAACACTATCAAAAAGCTGATAGAAAGTGGGTGTGCATTGTGGTTAAACAGCAGACAATTATTTTGGGAACGTTTCAAACGGACTTTATCTAGGTCGTTGCTCAATCTGCGTTTAAGTGCAACTTATCTTCGATATTTTGCCGGAATCATCTTGCCAGCGTTAAAGTTATAGGCTCAGTTATCTATAAAAGGCCAAGATACGTTTTGGTAATCAGCTTTGAAAATGCGCTCTCTGAAAAAAGCTTCAGATGATACAGTAGAAAACCGTATTCTCACAGGTTTGTCTTTTAGTGAAGATTAGATTGAAACAACTGAAGGTTGATATGCTTAATTAACTGTCCTATTTGTAGAAGCTGACTGTCAGTGATCCATTTGATTCTCAAACAGAACGAACGTTTTGCACAGATCAGTCGATGTCGATAATGAAAAGATGTCAGCCCTAAAAACATAATTTAGGTCTCAAAGTCTGGCTTGTCATTCTTTAAACATGTTATATATATATATATATATATATTTACAAGCTGGGGACTATCGAGCTTTCGTAGAAGACGTCAGCTATATCTGCTAATAGCAGAAAGTAAAAACGACTGCTTAAAGAAATCCTGCTTTTCATAGATTCACTTAGGTAATTTCTCAACTGTTACACGATGCGCAGAAGAGCTGAAGTGGAACCGGTTTCGAATTTAATCAAGGTCTCTTAAATATTTCTAAGGAGCTCTCGAGCTCGTGCTGACTTATTCCCCTAGTTTTAAATCCTCTTTCTGCATTTCAGGCATCGGTTACGCCATGGTAACTATTTCCACTTTGGTGGCCATATATTATAACGTCATCTTGGCCTATACGCTGTACTACTTAGCACAGTCCTTCAGGTCAGTGCTACCGTGGGCCAATTGCGATGAGTGGTGGGGTGCTGATAAAGAAACGTGCTTCGTTCGTAAGAAAAGTAAGTTCATTGATAATACACTGCGCGTATGAGGAAGTTACACCTAACAGTTGAATGCGTTCACACAGCTATAGATGTCTTAAGCAAAGGGAACGACAGTTTATTTTCACACGATAGGTCTACGTACGGAAAATAATCTCCCGTCTACATATCCATGAAATTACTTTTATTTACAATATATTGCGTGGATTGCATTGCTTCCATAAGTGGGTTACTGCGCGGAGGAGTAGCTAAACAAATTATCACTTTTATTTCTTTTATATAGTTTTTTTTTATTATGGCTAAGTTAGAACATAACATTACTATATAAATAGTCGATGTTCAAACTCTGAAGATACAATTGAGATTGAAGATACCTTTGAGACTATATATACATATATAATTTTTTCCTCTTTGGAGTGGTGTGACATAGTTTATTTGTTTTTAAACGAAGTACTGTAACGGCGTAGGTATATAATTGGATATGTCATCAGCAAATAAGAAATGAACCGATACACGCCACTGATTATGCATTTAAATTGCTTATTTTGCCGATATGTGCCTTACTAGATAACGGTCAGTAGCACTTGAAATAGTGCAGCATGTTGGCTTTCCCATCGTAAGACATTATTTATAAATCTATAAATTAACAGGGTCGCACATGTAAAAATTGCTTTAGTTATATGACCTTCTTACGGGATTTATGGCTAGAATAATTATATTTTTTGTTGTAACGCATCATTTGCGTCTCATTCAAGATAGGTGCCCCAACCCTCAGGCTACATTGGAGCCAACTTTGAAGAAACCATGCAATAGAAGATATAAAAAACTGTTTACCTTATGAATAAAGGGAAATATCTGTATGATCTATATTACCAGTATGGAAACTTATTGCCCCCGTTTCGAGCATATCCTTCTTCGAATAAATGTTTTCTGGTTTTCATATAGTTTTCGACAAATATATGAATCTGAGACAATTAAGGGATTATTTGTTTGGCAACGGTACTGATATCTTCGGGAAGCAGATCCATTATATTCATCTATCATACACAGCTTAAATTTGATATTAATACAACTTGAACGAGTTCGCGCATAAGAACTTAGAAAATGAACTTCTTGAATTTAGTAACAATGACATCGTAGCATTGAAAATGCTACGATTCATAGAAGCCTGTCCATCCATCCGAGAAAACGATTAATGAAACGAGGCACTTTTTGGAGGTTTTTACCTATAACGGATAAACGTCATGAAAAGATATATATAGGTATATGTAGAGGTATAATGACTTTCATTTTTGACGGCAATTCTGTCCTTTCTCAAAAGTCGTTCTTACTTTAACAATATTTACCGATTGTTTCGTTCCCTTCAATTCTTCACGATTTCAGATATAACACTATGTCGCAGCGTCCCGTATATTCTACACCTAAAATATGGATCGACTTCACACTCGAACGACACTAGCGGCTGGACACTAATTACGTACCGAGGTGTTTCATTTCTCACGCCGCTGGCGGAATACATCCAACTCAACAACACCTGCAGGTACGAAAGAGCCCTAAAACAATTGCGGAAGGCGTTTAAGCGACAGATTCTCTTTCACAGTGTAGACCATATTTGTTGGCTAACTTTTTTCCATTTCAACTAAGTATACATATTTTCCTGTACAATAAGCAACATTATAAGAAATGGCGGTTCAATCCTAATTTACAAATGAAAAGGAAGGATCACGTTAGGACGATTACAGTGGGCGCTACTCTTTGTGTAAATTTTTTTCTTGACTCCACAGTGACGTGACCGGTACAACTTCGGCGGCCGAGCAATTTTGGGAACGGCATGTTTTAGATCTATCTCCAGGTATCGAACATGTCGGTGGACTTAAGTGGGACCTTGCTGTCTGCCTGTTTATTTCGTGGGCGATTGTGTTTTTCTGCCTCATGCAGGGAGTGACGTCTTCAGGAAAGGTAGATCACGATCGAACACTGGTAACTGCGGCTGTTGCTAACCGCAAGCCTAACAAGATCTAGATACAGATCTGGTTAAATGTTAAATATGTTTTTGTCTTCTACTTAAAGCTACAATATTCATCTTCTGTTTCTTGAAGTATATTTAAACACGACTAGTTGTTGTGTCTATCAGAAAATCATCAGATGTTAATCCACCTAGAATTAGATTTCGCTTAAACGACATAGACAATATAGTGGAACATTTTAAATGATACGCAACGATCACAACTGGCGTTGAATCGAAGAAAATGAATGCGTTCCCTAAAGATCCAATATATGTTTCTCCCGCACGATTGTATCTAGGTCATGTACTTCACCGCTACCTTCCCGTATGTTATGCTGACAGTTTTGCTAATCAAGGTAAGCACAATGAAGCCTTGCACGCTCCCTGACCCTTATGACGATTATACAAATAAAATGAAGGCACGAATTCGGTTTGGGTTTTGCCCCAATTTTGCCATGAGGTGATTAGGGTACTGTTGCGCCCTGATAGAGAAAAGCGATGAATTGATCTACGTTAGCATATCTTGCTGTATTCTGTGTACTACAGATAATAAAAGTGTTTTCATATATAGCCTGAATCAAGCTTCTAATATACATCTCATGCGTGTGGTATGATACAATGATGATGACGACGATGGGAATGATAACTTGGAATAGGGCGTCACTCTTGATGGTGCGATGCTGGGAATCAAGTATTTTCTCGTGCCCGACTTTTCCAAGTTGACGTCGTTAACGATTTGGCAGAGAGCGGCTGAACAGCTTTTCTATTCACTCGGCATTGGTTGGGGCGGACTTATCGTGAGCGGGAGCTACAATCATTTCCGTACAAGTATCGTCATGTAAGTTCCTCATAATATATTAACACAAGTAGCGCAATCGTTAATGACGCTAATGTGGCTGTACAGATCGCGGAAATATTCCCGTCCACAGATCAACAAAATGACTGTCTATGTAAGAGCTATATCGTGCAGAAAATGCACAAGCGAATATAAATCAACCACTAGACTTATTCTTACTCTAACTGGAGTAGATGCATCAGTATATGCATATATATAATCAGTAATCATATATTATACAATAGCTATCTTCAATGCTATCACCCAATACTAAAACGAAGCTATTTCGAACACGGCGAAGCAATGCTTCCGTTTCTTTATGAGTTCTCATGAGCAGACAACATTCTCTAGAGGTATCCCGTGCAGGGAATGGTGTAACAAGTATTACGCTTTTCGGTGTCTCTATGTGATCCTATTAGAAAACCGAGCATCGTAGCAGCTCCAAAGAGTAAATTTTATGCGCACCCTGTGAAGGTAACTCTTTTTTATTCTTTGAGACTCTTTTACAAGAATATATCTAGACAATATGTGGTTGTAATAGCTTTTGTGACCTACCTGAGAAAGTGAACAAATCTTACTGAGCTGAACTTCATCACGGTAGGTCTATATTTACCCAAATATACATTTACGATATTACTCGAACGCCTGAACGCAAGCCTAGAATGTTTTGTCAAAACTTTGTCTGACTAATCCGGTTAGAAGGGACGACTAACAAGTGCCGTTTGTCACTTCTGCCGCTGTGGCTATTTTCTTTGTAGCCAGTCGACAATTGTAAATGTTGCTGATCTACTGACCTCATTCCTTGGAGGTATCGCCATCTTTTCGGTTCTTGGCTATATGTCCGTTACGTATGGTGTTCCGGTTGAAGAGGTGCGTACTTTTTAATAACTCCGATCAAGCCAACTTAATTTAGTAGTCTAATTACAGTAGATGCGATCAATCTACGAGATAGAGCCTTGTCTCGAAAGATCCCCTGAGTTGAATTCTACTTTTTCTACGAAGTTCTATCTGATAAAACTTTATATATATATATATATAATTCGACTCCTACTTTGGAAGTAGTTATTACTCAATAGTTAAGTGGAGATTTATTTCTGGATATTTCCGGCCTCAGGTCGCTAAAGCCGGTCAAGGTTTAGTGTTCGTTGTCTTTCCGGAGGCGTTAACAACGTTTTGGTGCCCCCAACTATGGTCCGTTGTCTTCTTCGTAATGCTGTACCTGCTCGGCATCGATTCGGAGGTAAAATTCACTTGTATTACAAAAAAAACGATGCCTGCAATCTGTGCACAGTGCAATGGCTGTTAGAATTCAGAGGAATTGTGTAATTTTGTTTCCACTCCACAAAGGCCACTCGAATGATGGCGTGTCGGGGCCGTATTACATCTTGGAGGGCAGGGGCTAAAATGAATGCGTTGTTGTCATAAATAAGATTAGATTTTCATTTAGCACATTACTGAGACTCGACACTCTATAACTTAATAATAATGTGACCCGCTCTTACGACATCTCAATGAAAAAATTCATAGTTGTGGCAGATAATTGAATAACAAGATGTACAGAGAGGAAAAACAAATCTCTTGAATTTTATGTCCAGTGATGCCTTAGCTAAGCATTGCTGAATAAGAAAAACAATAACTGACGCCTGCTATGATAATTTAAAATGTCCTTTTCAGTTTCCATTGGTACAAACCGGTCTCACAGTGCTTTCGGATGCCTTTCCAGTCCTTCGAAAGTACAAAGGTATCACGGCATTTGTTGCGTGCACTTTGTACTTTCTTGTCGGGCTGACCTGCGTGACCCGCGGCGGCCAGTATGTTCTGAATCTATTGGACACGTACTGCGCCGGCGTATCGCTATTAATCGTGATTGCTACAGAAGTGATTTCTCTTATGTGGATATATGGTTAGTTTAGAGGTGCATTAATTTCTTGTTTTTCTTACTGTTTATTTTAATACATTAGGCAGTGACTTCCACATTTATCAATTTACAGTACACGATGCCTACCATAATTATTACTCTGCACAATTATATAATCCCCGCTAATAACAAGTATATAACATCTATACTGCAAAGTTTTTGGTCATAGTTTGGTCCGCTATATATATATATATATATATATATATATTGTCTATGCTGTAATTCACAGGCGTATCAAATCTTTCATTCGATGGTAGTTTTATGCTGGGTTCCCCACCAAATATTTTCTTCTGTTTGTCGTGGACGGTTATTTCCCCTATTCTTCTGCTGCTCATCATTACATTTTACTTCTATCAATGGACGCCAATAACCTACAACAACGTCGAACCCTATCCACACTGGGCTGATGCGGTCGGGATGGCATTTGCAGCGTTTTCGGTGCTTCAGATACCTGTTGTAGCGATATGTGTTCTTCTCCGCAAAAAGGTAAATGTCGCAAAACACAGGAAAAGAATAAAGTAACATTAAGCAGGTCTCTATCTCATCCTTTTGTTGACACAATCTTTCTTTTAAACCAACAGACGGACAAGCCATATAACGATTAGATACTTGAATTAGGTACAAACATCATGCATAGACATAGACTAATATCAATAATTTTTTTTGCAATTTTGCACGGTGCTGCCTATAAATCGGTATATGGAACGCCGATCAACTATGTTACTGCTAGCGATAGTGTTTACTGAAGTAACCCGCCTTAATCTTTCTCCCGAATCAATCTACAGAGTCTGCAAGCGGTCTTCCGTCCCGAATCAAACTGGGGCCCTGCAGACAAACATCTGTTTGAAGACTACCGAAAATTCAAGGCCCAAAAGAGGAGCCTTCCGCTGAATCATCGATCATCGATTATTAATGGACACACGTAAATACGTCTTGTGCGCCGTACTGTGTCAGCATTGGTTCTCCAGTGTGGTCAATTTGGACGTTTATGGGTTACGGCTTGAAGCACCAGCTCAGCTCTAGGTCTGAACGGTCATAAGGCGATGTTTTATTCTGTCCATCGTATACAAAATAAACCTAGCATAAAATTTACAAAACCTTTAGTAATCTTTTTATATCTAACCAGTGTTATGCATTATGTGAGTCTATGTGGACACAGTTACTAACCCCATTCTGAGTAGGAACCACGTTATGCAATCGAGGAATAACAACGTCCAATATAATTAGTCTTGTTAATCCATTGAGCTCTTGGTTCTTCTTGAACTTGAACTATATGTCCATCTAAATATTTAGTTTATAAGCTACAGCGTACAAGACATTTCATTTTATGACATTTGAATGTTACGCTCCTTTAAAATATTTGTCGTGCAATAAACGTGCCCAATGGTTTGACAAAAAGTTTTTTCTTCTTTTAAACCTAACTTTTAAAAACTTCCAATGCTTGTCCCCATAGAGTAAAACAATAATATAGAAATTTAAATATCAAAAAACATCTGACTCTTTATGCGCTATTCATTATACGTACGGTATTCCTGGTTTCTGTATAATTACTGTCATACGAAGGTGTTATATTGGCTGTTTTCTACGCACTGACAATGCTTCTGCCCGTTTCAAAGTCTACACAACATCCTATACTTATCGAGTCCGAAGGCATATTAAGGTGTAAAACCCGCACGTGATGTTTAATAGGAGAAAAATACAATGAAAATAAAGATTGAACGGTAATGATGTCGATGCTAGTGATGGGCAAAGCAACTTGGGGTCGTATACTTAGTATTAACATCTGCCAATCATTTGTACGTTTCGATATTCATAGTTCTTCTGATTTGCAAGTAAGACCGAGGAAAAATTAAGCTTAAGCTAAACTTAATATCTACTTCACAGCTTCGGTATATATATATATATATATATATAGCAGGTATGAATGGACAATAAGATTACCATAAGACAGTGATGCAAAGTAATTCAGTTCACTGAAATGTCATATGGAGTATACGGGAATTGCAAATAATTTTCCAAGTCACCTGAAAGCTGCCGGTCTTCAAATTTTAAACTTATGTTGTTAGGTTACTTCAGCTGGAGTAATGCTATCGGGACGACAGTACAGTTCATTATGAAGCGGTTTTTCTAAATGACCAAGCTTTTTAAGGATACTTTGACATATTCGGTTTTTCTAGAATACCGTTTGGAAACTAATTATTCCTGACAAATATAAAGCAGCGACGAGTTCTGTGAGTAAACGAGACAGTCCTGCGACAATCATTTTTCTTGAACTACCATGTAATGGAGAGATTTGGCACGAGGGAGAACAATCATCTTGAAGTCAAATTGTGGAAACCAGCCAAATGTTTCAGTGGCAAGCCAATAATTCCATAGGTTTATGTAGCCTTCGTAGACAACTGTATTTTTCCCAAGAGAAGTAACAGCCGCATTTATTGTTGGTGACCTTCTACTGCAGTAATCAGAAAGGAATAATCAGTGAGAAAGCAGAGGGACTCCATCTTGGGAATCTCTGCTTGACAAAAGTTACGCTTCTCGATAACGAAGTGCTAGATGAAAGTGATTATATACTCCGCGTGAGTCTTCGGAATGACGGTGTTGCGAGGGCCGTTCATAGGCCTGTATTTAGACTCGCTCCAAACTGTTCTAGTTAGTAAATGGACGAACGACGAAATTGAGTGAACATACCATTTCAGCCGATACGAAGAGACTTGCAACTATTTAGCGTAATAGAGGCAAATACTAACTGTATTTACAGAAAGGGACGTAAACCACGCCTAAACTGCTTTATTTACTAAACATTTAGTCTACATGTTAGTAAATACTAATAATGAGCTACAGTGGAATTTTTATTTTGTTTTAGTTTGTTGTGACCTATTCTGAATCACGCGCTTATGCGTGAATTTATCCTAACACAAACTTGAAAAAGTTTAGTACAAGCAGTTGACGGACTTACAAGAAAGACCAAATCAGCCAAAAGCAGTAACTGGAAGTAAGTAATTTCATCGAAATATCTTGATGATCTAACATTACAAAATGGCACGAAGAGGCATTTGTAGTATTCATAAAGATATGAAAGATAACAAAACAAAAAATGTATTTGTATGCGCAGACACTTTAATGCTGTATGGTGAAAATACACCGTCCGATCCTCTAAATAAGAACCTCCTCACAAATTTTGTTTAGTTGTATTATTCAATTATCAAACTACCTTCGGAACTTCGGGCGAACGCATTTTGTAGTAATCAACTTATATATATATATATATATGAGAGAAAAAAGAGGGATAATCTATTTTATAGTGATGTGTGAGCTACCTCCACGCGCTACATAGGTAGAGTCGTTGGACTGATCGAATTTGTAGTGGAATGGTCCTTTTTCTGTGTTATTTAAAAACTGCTAACCGGTTATTATACTACTTCGAATACACATTGAGTCATACAACAGGTTTTATTTATGATAACAATTTAGATTAATAATATGAAAAAGTACAGCCATCAGAAAAACCCTGTTCAGTAATTTCTCATTTGTACGGTTGGGGCAACTTTATTATCTTGAACGTCTTCCGTCGACGAGCTCTCTAACCGATTTTACTCTGTTCTAAGACAATACCATTATCGTTATTTAGAATACATAAAAGCCTAATTAGTTATAAGCCAAGTCTGCCGAAAAAAACTAATGTTTATTTAGGTGCTTAGAAATGACAAGATAAGCGAACGTACATCTACTTCGTGGTGATTAATTAACAGGCAAGCATGTCAAAATGCTATCGGTCCGCATTAATTAAAAGAACAACTTCTACATTTGTTAGCCTTTATGCGCTGTTCCACACTAATACTTACTATATATATATATATATATATACCTGACAGATTCTTAAAGAGAACTAAAACGTTGTTTTAACATTAGTTCCACGGAGAGCTTATACTGACTAGCCTAGAAAGGACCAGTTGTGCTGGTCCAGCACGTAATACTGCTCATGTAACACCAATCATCCAAGTAATTCCGGCTCTACCCATTGAAACCAAGTGGATAAATTAGTTCTTCGCTTATTCGAGCAGAATAACCGGACAGCTTCAGCCTATTTCCGAAAATGGGCAACGAAGTTGATTAAAATAACTCGACCAAGTGGAGCTTGCTGTGCTGGAATTTCTGAGCACTCAATTGTAAAAAATTCTCGTAAATACGTATTATATATTTATGTATGCGTAGAACGCAAGGTCGAGCGCAGACACTGGGTCTGTTTTTTCATTTGGGCATTGCACGTAGCGCCAAGTACGGCATAAACAGCGGTCTCGCAGGAGGAACCGAGAAGAAGCTGGCTAGAAATCGTATGAACTAACCTTTCTTTTGTGTGTAGTCTAGGGTCCGCCCGTATGCAGAAATGTCTTGGGAAACAGGGTGCCGGGTGTCCAAAGTATGCTGCATAACAAATGCTTCCATTCTCATGATGGTATTTCAAGTAGGATTCGTGAGCCAATGGCCGTGACAGAGTCTACAAATTATTACAATGAAATGTACCAAATCGTGGATATTGTTCCGCATATCGCATGAAATGGTTAGGGTAGCGCTACGGAAGACTTCATAGCGTTTAGAAGACAAAAGGCGACCAAGAAATTATTCATCGTTTGATGAAGGCGGTCACGTTAATAACAAGGTTGCCGTAGTTTATGTTAAACAAATGAAGGAAGTACAACATAACGCACAAAGAAATAGCTCTAGCTTAAAATCACTCTGCTAAAAGAGGGCGCCACGAATTGTGTGGGCCACTGGGCGCGAAAAATAGCCTCATTGAATTAAGAAACGAAAAATGCGAATTTCCTAAATCCAGTGTTTCATAAAATATTGCCTGACTCCATATTCATGGTAATATCATGTTTTGAAGTAATCATAAAGCATGTTAACGTGGAGTGAGCGTACTTTGCGCATATATATGCATCATATGAGCATAATTGATTCGGGAAGTCAGAAGTTAGAGAAGATCGTATTTCAGAAGTAAATAAATACACAAGCGACCGTATCCAAATATTATACTTGTAAAGCTTTTGAAAGTTACATATTTTATCTCTAAATACGTAAGTTTATGTTGTTTGATCAAGTCAAAAAGAAAACCTGAGAATGTTCAATGTAAAAATGGCCGCGCTGAGTCTATTGGGAAAGTCAAACTTATAACTTCGAGAAATTTCTGATTACTTAATTAATGCGCCACCTAGCGGAAATTAGCGGAAACCGATTAGTTCGTTGTTTGAAATACCTCAAAGCATTATTTCGTTACATGCGTAACGATAGACCTAGCTGTTATACTACCATAACTATAAAACGTTATAGTTATAATTGATAACTATAATTAAATAACTGAAAAAGGTGTATTGTCAATAAAAGTAAAAAGTAGATAAATGTTATTCCTGTGCAAATTTAAGAGTATTTGTCTATTAGTTTTTTCGTCTTAAAACTCCGGTAGTAGATACGTCAGGGAATGGCCCTATATCTTGTGTTTCAGCTTCCTGTTCTGCCCTTGATTGGAGTACTTCATGCGAAGACGTTGATTGTATGGGTGAAGAATTTAGACGCGGTTATACGATGGCAATACAATCGATAGCTATCGTGCATAGCTATACTAATTATAAGCAGTAAGATTTTCTACGACAACTAATCAAGATGGAATCGGAACATCATGCAGTTTTTGTGCTAATCTGTCCCAATCTAAGTAAAGTGCACGCTTGATTGGAATGTTTATTCCATGTATGTACATGCTGCATGACGCTTTCAGTTTATAGTGTTCAACTAGCCGACTCAGGAACAGTGTCTGGAAACTACTCTATCCTAGAGGAGGGACTTTCCTAAGCTTTGCATATACTAGTGAAGAATATAGCCGTAATAGCTGTAATAATCTTCACTACATTAGGTAGGCCGGTCTATTTTTGACGGAAAGAAAGCCTATTTCCCGCTGTAGCAGAACACTTAAAGCGGGAATAGATGCATTTCTCAGTTGTTCTCGGGTGTGTTATCTTCAAATCATTTATTAGCTATTTAAATTTAGTTATTATTTTAAGTCATTTATTATCCAAATAAATTCTCTACATCATTGATTAACAAAATAGTACCTCTGTCATTAAGCCGGTCCTTCCGTGATATTTAATTGGTTCATTCTCGTGTCTTTATTTCCATGAGTGCTATGTATACGATCAAACTGCCGCCGCAAAAACTTAGCCTTGTCCTAGGCCAATGGTCAAGTTTGCACTCGAGTTTAGCTTGTGTCTGAGTGATAACAAGTCAACAACCAGCTCCTGTATTTCAGTAGTCCGACAATTGCCAATATATCGTTTTCGAATGAGGCTAAGCATAGAGATATCATTGATTGCTTTAGATTGAACCGATTTATGCAAACGATGATTATTTCCAACCGGTGTGCTGCTATCGGGCATTGCATGACAAGAGTCTTCGTCTGTGGTGCGACTGGTACATCCCGATAGAAAACCTAGCATAGTGTACATCGCAAATTGGACATTGACCAGCCGACTATCGATTAGCTGCGCAATTCCTTTAGTTTCTAAGAGCGCTCTTCATTTTCTAATGATCTAATAGATGCCTATCGCTGTGCTGAACATGTCCCTTCGAGTGGGTGGCACTAGCTAAGGAAAAGCATTACTTTCCCAAAAAAATTACAATGGAGATTTTTGATGAGTTTTTTTCCTGCGATTCACTTCGCTCTCTGTGTTTTTTCTATAGTCATAGTGCTGCATAATCGGAGTCTAACGACAAAGAGCTGGTAAGTACTCCTTTAGAAGCTATGGCTTAATTTAGACAATGTATATACGAGACTACACTAACTGCAAGTCAGCAAAATAGTAAGAGAATTATTGTAAACTGCTGTGAGCCAGTACCGTTCCCAGGTCGGTATCTTCCCATAGGACTTATTTTTTTGGTACTTATTTATATAATAATATGTATTTGAAAAGAAAACATCTACAGTTACTATATTGTCGTCGTATACCGATGGTTTGCTAAATTCGAAAGCTGTCCTGATTCATTTTTTCATTTGTATATGTATATTTGATAGAAAAATCGGTACGTGATTTTAGAAAATCTCTATTTTGATCGATCACTTTGGATTGTAGTAGACTGAGTAATCGGAAATCGTCTCTGTGATATAGTGGAGTGGTGACGTGTTTGCCCATTGAACTTGGAGACAAATGAGGCAGTGTAGATACGCTATCGGACGTAAAGCTCGAAAAATGAATTAGGTATTCGAACCGAAATCACCAACCAATGAACAAGACTATGACAGTGTTCTATACTTTCAATAATATATCGTGGAAGCAGTGTGCCGTTCTTTAAACCAGGTTACAAGCTCAGCTTCGAATAAGTTATCTTTACGTCAATATTAATGTAGAAATTTGTTACAGCACTGGCCTACGGCTATCGTTGTACAACGTCGTATCATGTTTTCATGCTCCTGCAGTGTCCTGCTTCTTCTACGTCTCCTAATTTACTTGCAATACAACATGGTAGGCCGACAACTATTCAACTGTGAGTATGTGTGTGATTTTTTTTGCTATTTTTCCTTAATTTTATAGCGTTGCTTCGTGTTTACCTGCACTTATCGTTAAGCTTATATTTTCTAGCATCTATGCCTTTACATCTTTTGTGACTTCTATTTCATTGTACGAGTTTCTATTGCGCTACATATATACACGTTTGTATGCATTTATGCATATGTGTGTACATGTTCATTCGAGAGCAACAACTGCGCTTTTGCACAATTGTCGCTGACCCGTTACGCCGACCCACAATTCAGAAGCCATTTTTTTTAATCTAGTTCTAATACCATATGCTTCCCCTAATTGCCAGGCAATAAGGCGAAGCTCGCGTGTTCGATGGAACTGTTGTAACTGGGGCCAGATCATGTTCGGGCCGATTAAATTGAACCGGGACAATATAGCCATCTGAGTTTTACCCTAATAGCCGATATACCTATGCGGGCAAATGTTCATGAAGATGATACTGACCTACAACGCTCATCTAAGGATTGGAAAAAAGAGGTTATTAGTCATGCACCTCTTGTAGTCAATAGTTGCTGTTCCTATTGGGCATAGTTCGAGCAGTGACTCTTACGAATCGCTCTGTCTGCTTCTTTCTAGCTTTCAATAGCAACGCTGGTGAAACACTCCCAATGATTCCCTCACGCGAAGATCGGCAGGTCGATTTATAGGACAAACGATGATGAAATGTCGGACATGCTTAGGCGCAGCTGTGTGCGTTTATTCGAAACAGGCAACCTTTAACGAAGCGGTTTGGATCTAACAGGCATAAAAAAAAAAAACAGGCTCAAATAATCATTGTTCTTGCTATCATCGGAACAGCGTATGAATATGTATACACACGCGAACAGAGTATCGTGTTCACTACATGTGACGGTTCTAAGGCTCGTTGTTTGTAAGGTCGACGCCTATTTGAGATCGCCTTTTTCTACTATTCTTTTGAGGATCAATTGTAAATAACGCCGCATAAGACCCAGCTCACTCATGCGTCACGGAAAGAATCAGTCGCTTTTTCTGCAACATATTTTGGTCACGCTCTCGTGACAACTGCATTCGTCACTGTAATTTATGTGTAACCACTGATAATTAACTATATACGGATTCAACATTGGCAATGTTTCTACAGACGATGAATAGGGCCGTGGCGCACCAGCCTGGTCGTCATTAATCTTGCTATTATTTTTAGGGTCATTCGACTCAATTACGGTTCGGTCCTGCTACGTTTACCATGAATACGAGTAGCAATAGTTATTGCTAACATATTGATTAATATTATTATTATTATGACGGTGTCGATGTGGAGACAGGCGCTTCGTCATAGCTAGCTCTGTATCGTGTGTGTAATTTTCAGTACCTCTATTGAGAAAATAATCGAAAAGCCTATCAGGGAGACTCTCCGTGAGTGATTGTTTTTGTATAGTACTTCCAGTGCCACTTACTTTGTATGTGAGTTCATGAAACGTATAGCACATGCCGGCCGTTTCCTTCTCTCCGACCATGATCGGAGCGCCCTCTCTATTCGTAGCGGCAGTGGCTCGCGAACGGACGCCGCCGCATCAAAACTCACGAAATTCTTCTCCTGAGCTTTTGAGAAGTGGGCGAAGCAGCGTACGACCTCAGTGATAGTTCTCGAGAGAAAATGGAACGGTCAAGATCGAAAAAAATTGACCCGATTTGTGCTAGCTGATTGCCTGTGGGTCTTGCCTTAACATCCAAAAGCGCTGCGAGGACAGGACCCTTTGGCTGGTTGTCCCGATACAGTTGGAAAAAAGCTACTGCATATAAAGCAGGAAAACTAGACCTGACGGAAAATTCGAGGAGACAAAGTCGCTGACCATTAGTTAACAAAAATGAGTAGCTAGCTCATAGCAGTAGTGATCACAATGCTAAATTAGTTTTAGGAACTCGATGGCTGGCTCAAGTAGCCATTCAAGTTAAGATCGCGTTAGAACCAGGCGCCGCTCACGATCCACCCAGTGTTCTGGGTCACTCAATCTTGTCGCGCGCGAAGCTTCTAACGTATGTTAGTCACCTTGTTTCTCCAACTAGATTGTCCGACGACTACCGTATGTAAACGACTTGAAGCGTAGCATAGTTTTTGGTTCAAGATTGTCTCACCCATGAAAGGCGTCGACAGCGAGCTGTCCTGCAAGTAACTGTTGTGACTCTGCTATTTGCCATTGCCTCCCGACCAACTCCGCGTACCAATACTCGTGGTTGACCGGTAGATGGTAAAGGTGGTTGGCTGTGTAACGCTCAGGTACGCGCTGTTCCTACGAGACGATTCTGGCCTGCGCGCGGTCGATCGATCGATTGTAGCCGCGTATCTTGTGTCCTTCTTAACGAGCACACCTCGAAGAAAAGAAAAATTGGCAGCCAGCAGCTGAGAAGAAGGGCCAACATATCTCCCCCGCATCTTGGATAGTTTTGAGTGGCCGTTGCTCGTCCATACGTTGACACCGTCATTCCGCCACTGGTCTGTGCTATTGATCGAGCCAGCCTTTGAAAGTGGTACCTACGTATGGCGATTAGTTTCGTTACCATTCCGTACCACTGAGGGTAGTAATTTGTGCAGAAAGAGCGTTCAGTACGAAATCAAAGACGACCAATTAGTAGTCGAAGCATTTGTGTTTGTCGCCCATACCGAATAGCCGACTACAAGTTAACGGAAGGTATTCCAATCATACTCCGAATAGAAGCCGAACTGCTGAACAGCTAACTTGTAAGGCTCATAACATTAAAGCGTCTGTGGACGCGTTGTAGGAGATCTTTGCACACGTGGGAAACTGTTGTCAGCAAAAACAAGAAAAAAAACGGCCATTCGTTATAGAAACATGTGCCCCTATTTAGGACGCACATAAAATCGCTTTGATTTTATGCGATGGATACATCACCTCTTGGATAACTCCGTGTGATCCTGTGTTTTGAGTGTCTTAGTGCAAGGGCCAGAGGTCTTAGCAGACGCTAGCATCCTTAAGAGTTTTTGTAATGTTGAAGCTCACTAAACTGACGACGCTTTGTGCCTGTGTTCTGATGTGTTAAAGTTCAACTCTAAAGTGGAATTGCCCGAGGCGTAAGCTGTTGGCTTTCGGTTGAAAAGCGGATAGTGCGGGCGATGGGGTTCGAGTTGACAAGTTGCAGAAAACGGATTGGCTTTAGGCAATCTGATGGCCTCTGGCCTCCGACGATGCCGTCCTCGATAATTCTAGCTATTATTGGGTTAACTTCGTGCCTTACTGAAGTGCTCGGCTCCGATCAACCATTGCCACTTTTCCCATTCGGCCAGGATGACGAGGTATGACGACAACAGTAAAGTCTTACTAAGAATATAATGATACGTTTTTCAAAAGCGTGATTACCCTCTCATTTTTAACTATAATTAATAAATGGAAAATGAACTTGAAAAATAAGAAACAATTAAGCAAAAACATTAGATTTTAGAAAGCAGCAAAATTTCGGTTTCATTGTTTGAATGGCTGCTTGGTTAGCTCCCTAATAACTTTATATATCATTCAGCCTTTACTATAAAGTTTTCCTTAATTTAATTAAATCATTGCGTTTATTTCTCGATTTTATGTCGTCGGTCAAGGACGGGTACGTTCCAAATTGCCTATAAAACTTAATCCAAATGAGTTCGATTTAAGAGAAAATTACATGATGTTTCGACCCTTATTATAAAGTGTGAATATTGATTTAACCCTGAAAAATGACCGTTCGTTTAATGGTTTCACATGCAACATCTTATTGCTAGAAAATATAATACTCCACACTACATTCGTAGCCGAAATACTGTACTAAATTGATTATACGAACCGTTTACCACACGGCCATATTTAAAGTTACCGGAACGGACAGATGGTGGCAAAAAATAATTTCATATGTCAAATTTATACTAAAGATGACCTAAGAATATATGTCTATTTTGTTAAAATTTTAAGTAAAGTAGCCCGATTTTGAGTCTTGAGACCTGTAAAAGCTGGGTCAGTGAGTCAGTCGGTTCAAGTCGGGCCAGTTAGCTTAATTCATAATAAAATGTGCGTTATTCCCTGACCCGTAAATACAAGAATGGCTTTGGTTTACTTGTGTGTGTATATGTACCACGTTTTTTACTGGAGTCCACTTGAGACCAGTTTGAGCTTACCAGATGAATTCGCACATTATCAAAACGGGAAGTCTCATTGCTAACGGAACCTTTGCCGAATGTGGAAGGTTCATAGGCTGTATTAAACGTATCTCCTCCTGTGGCACACGCATACACACACACACACACACACACACATACTCACACACATACACACAGACACACCCCTAAGCCTAAGCAATCGATAGGCACCAGTTTGGGAATAACGTGTTTGTCGTACTGCAAATGTTCCTTTAAAAATCTCATAGGCGCTAGAGTCAGGTGTGGCCGGGCGAGAACTGCGTCTCGCCTTTCCAATTACGGTGGAATCTCGATTTTACAGCAACGTTCACGTGAGTATCATGCATAAACGTTTCGGAAACTTTCGTTTCATTGCAAATTGCATAATAGTGAACTATAGACTCACCGTACGCAGGTTTAGGTAGAAACCTAAGGCATCTGTGACAAATAGGCTAGACACATCTGTAACCGTTTCCAACTGCAAAAAAAGTAAGATTTTTCACACTTAACTCTACCTCAAGTACCTTATAGCAGAAGTTCGGTTCACCTACACACATAACAACCACCAGATTGAAAACTTTTACTGATAACCCAACCAGTAACTGCCAGAAAACGCAATTCCTCTGTCATCTGCGCAAATATACATCGCTTATTTCATTATATTATATTATACGATTTGCAATTTTACTCGAATTGTCGGCGAAAATGCGTCCCACGCTATATAAGACGAACAAACCTATGTACAGTCACACGCTCCTATCCAATATGCTCATTAGGTTATCAAATTAAGGGACCAATAAGGTGCGGTTTAGGCTCGAGCCCGGGTGTAGATACGTGGTTCGTTTCGTGCTGGAAGGAGCTGATTGAAGCAGTGTTTAGCTAAAGCAATAGTCTCTCACGTACAGTTGAAACACTTAGCTTATCAATGACGGTTCTTCAAAACTGTTTTTATCCATAGAATTAAGACTAACAAAATCTCAGAGGGATGTTGTTGTGCCAATAGACTTCGGTTATTAAACGTTTCTCGAATGTATTGACCCTTTACTTGAAGTCCCTTCCTCGACTTTGCTGACGCTCTAACTTGTGACATTTAGGGTTACATGAGATGAGAAAATAAATTTTATGGCAGTTGCACAAGTCCGCAATGTTGCGTAATAAAGTATATGATATAGATATGTATCTGTATATATATATGTATAGGTATATGATGTAGAAATTCATTCAGAAATAAAGTTATCTACAAGAAAAGCAAGTAACTTTCAACCAACTTCGCTAGGATGAATTCAGTGCTTTCTTAAAATATTATAAAAAATAATGGTAGAAAAATTATTTTTCTAATAATATGTTTATATGTGTGCGGGAACGTACAGATTGATACAAAATTGACTTGAAAATTAAATGACATTAAATAAAATTTTATTACTACTCATATAGCGACCTTCGATTCACTGAGATCGGCTTTTTTCCTGTCGTGGTAAAATGCGCATTTGACTTTGAAAATAAGAGTATCCGTATTTTGTCAAAGTAATAGCAAAAGAGATATCTGTTCTATTTAAAAAGATCAGACTGATATTAACGGGCACTAAGCTAATACAGACTCACTGATAACATCTTCATTTTCACTTTAGATAAGTGAAGATGGCGTGTTGAGTTTTGGCCATCCATACCCAAATTACATTGTGTCTCTTGACGCCGTTCACGTGCCATCGGTAGCTGCGTTCTTCAGTGACATAAACGCAACCTCGCTTGGCGGAGGGAAAGTGTTCTTTAGAGAAGAAACCCGAAATACAGATGAGCTTATCAGGTAAGTTAAATACGTACTTTTCTTTAGGGAAAAGCCGACACAAATAACATGCATTTACCTAAACAAATACTCACATGTGCACCAAATATATAAAAGCAGTATCAATTCAATACAATCGCTATATACACGCCCTCGATTAAACAGGTTTGATAATTTGATCGCGCAACACTTCGAGAGAGACTTCACAACAAAATCTCTGGTCGTCGTTACCTGGTTCAAGGTGGCACCGAGCTCTGGAGTCGATCGTGACCGTCTTCCATTAGGGCGTCAGCCAAGCCAACCGCAAAGAATCCGTACAGAGAAGGTAAATCAACAGTACGAGTTTTCTGGAAACAATACGAGTTTTGTTAAAAAAAAAAATAGGTTTCAAAGTCATATAGCCTAGATCTCAAAATGCTTGGCAGTTGCCTGCGTCGTTCTGGTGACGAAACCATACCACCAATGGTTGAAGTGTTGGGTCTTTGATCGATGATTACAAAACCCCGATATAAGGTTCATAAGTAAAACGAATACTCATTTTGGCGTGGAATGTGTTGTTTCCTTTAGTACTAACAGCGTCCGTTTCCCATTGTTTCGTTCCCTATGCAGAATACGTTTCAGATAACAATTGGAAGTAGTGAAGGTCGGAGTTACGTGGCACTTTCGTACCCGATAGGATCACTGGAATGGGGCCAGAGTGCATCGCCTTCTGGCGACATTTGGGCTCAAGCCGGCATCTATGATGGACAAGGTTTGTTAATTACAGATGAAATTCTATGATAGTCCAGTGTGTTAGAATTGTTATGGTTGGCAAACTCTTTCTTACAAATATTCCCGTGATCAGTTAAAAGTGTTTAAATAAATCGAACCAGTATTAGGTAGAAGCAAATTTTTACTTTTTTTTTTTTGGGTTACAGGAAAGCGGATCATTTTCAAGGAGTCCGGTGGTCCGCGAATGCTTACGTTGGATAGGTAATACCTACGAAATATTACAGTTCCTTATTTTTCTTTCGTACGATAAAACGTTACGAATATTTCTTACTGTTATTTCAGCAGCATGTACTTATTCCTAGGATAAACATTAAACTCAGGGATATTATATACAATTAACAATGAGTAATATTTTTTTACTTAATCCCATTTCTCGTGTATTTAGTAAATACATCCAACTGCAGGTGGCCTAGCGTCACCGGGGTAGCGAACGCAATGTATCAATCCAGGTGTATCTACCTTGGCTAATAGTTAAGTTTATTACACCTTACAGTGAGTAGATATAACCTGTGTTTGAGATTCACAGAATACGTCTCTTAATACACGCATTTTCATCTACGATTCTAGACGATCGAACATCGGCGAGAGTGGTACGTTCCTCTTCCAGTTGGGTCCGTCGCTCGAATCCCCTTCGTCACCGGCTGAATCTTTGTCTTCACTCGGGACACGGATCACCTGCGATACTAACGACGACCCCTGCCATCCCCAAGCAAAATGCACAGTAAGCCTTATACCTAAAACATATTTAGGGTTATTTAATTTATCTTTGCCTAGAAATAATTTTTTCTGATATCACACATGTAAAATCCCTTGTAATGCAGAGAATTAATGCTGAACAGAATGTTAATAAATGGAATCAAATGGTTTCGTAGGGCAATGAGCGAAACCGACTTTTTTCAAACATCACATAGAATCTGCAGTCGGGTAGTATAGAGATCCGCGGTTGAAAAAATGCCCCACAGGGCTGGAACACATAAGAACACATAGTAACTTATGTACAAGTTATCAGTTAAAATAAACGCTTCCTTTATTAAAAACCTAGTTTTTTGCCAACTGCCAACCAATTTTATTCTTAGGTATAAAACTGTATGTTATATTATAAAACTGTAAGCCCATTTTCTTTTTGCTCCAAAAACTCTGTAGTCTTCTTTAAGCCAGAATGCTTGCCAGCTTCGACAAAGTAAGCTGCAAGTCCGGTACTTGTTAGTGCCATTTGCAGTATTTCCTCAAATCTCATCGTTACATTCCATAGCGTACAATGGTGGTCGTACCCTAGAAAATGGCCTTAACTGGGAGTTGTAGGTGTTTTCATTTGCCAAGTAGAACCATTAACCAGTGAATCTATTTGGGCTTCGTGGTTTAGAACGTGGATGTTGCGGACACCCCGCTGGATCCTGAAGGGAGTTCTTCAAACGTGAAAACTCGCGCCTTTTGCTGCGAATGTGGAAGGGGCCAGGTTGGTGATGGCTACCTATGTCTAGACGAGGAAATACTTCCCGCTTATCGCATCGTGGGGCGCTTTGAAGGTTTGTCAAAGCATTCGTATGTTCATATAGTCTTAACGTCCGTTCGTGAATGCCACCTAAAGAGCACCAACGGCATACTTAAAACAAACGGATTCTACGTAGCGCACTTAATGATAATCTGCAGCATGTTTCTGTAGTACGCAGTTTTGGTAAGGAGCTTCTCAGTGTTTTAGGGGCTTTGAGGCTATCGAACGATTTTCATTAGAAAACTATGCCCCGATAATGGCTGAGACAACACTGAAATGGTACTAAAGGTCAATCGCTCGTGAACTGTTTGTTTGAACATAGACGTTAGCGCAAGATATTTTCACCGAAACATTTCTCATAAAAACAGCATTTTCACAGTAGGGAAAAAATGAGATAAAGCTTGGAGGGAGAGGAGACATGCATACAGAGGCGTATGCGTGCAGCTCATAGCTTTCGTAGGTAGTGTGCATAAAGATTTGAGAGCCCGAACTTGAAAACACTTTTCCGGAACGGAAAATTGAAATAATTAGGTTGCTATAGTATAAGTTGATAGCTTGCCTTACTGACATATATCACAATAAATATTGAGCAATACTACAACTTATACGTATGAAACTGGTATTTGACATCGAAATAAGTTAAATTCTACTCGATTTGAATAGGTGAACTCAACGGTCGCTATTTGGAGCAGTCCGATCTGTATGGGTTTGCTAATGCTTCATCGGGTATCGCCTATCTGTCTCTGTCTGCTCAGCAGCCGGAACTCATTTACGATCTTCAGGTATTAATAAAAATATTTGTACCGGCTTAGATATCTGTGAGTACTACTAACTCAGTTCTCGTTGCGTTAGTAAAATGTCAGCAATCATAATTTAAAATAATCTATTGACATAATAATTATCATAATTTGCTTTTTTTCAAATGTGCTGGTTAATTAAATATTGATCTAATGTTTGTTTCCGGCAAATATTTGGCCTGCGATTTCCTTCACATGAGAGGCCTTTTATTTAGTGCCTAATTCTAGTGGTTGTGCCCACTTTATGAATGAGTTTGTGGTGAACTCGTTGTCTTTTTCCACCATGATATAGGACTATTGTTATGCCTGCGAGTTTCAATCACTCTGAAGCAAGGTCGAACTTAGATAGTCTTATTGCCAAGTAGAAATCTCGTGTCTACTAGCATGTCTGTTTGTTTCTTTTTGTACCTTTGCAGTCGTTGTTTGCCGCCAGTGGTGGACTCCATTGGCTGTTCGGAAAGACCCCTAACGGTAAGGATATTGAAAAGATTATAACGGGGGCCTATGCAAGAGACACCTAAATTTTGCCCTAAAACAAATTTGTATATTCTTGTTTTCCGTACTAACAGACTGTATACAGAAATTATCCAGTTGAAAGATTTAAGCCTGCTCTATTTCTACGATACGACCGATGGGTTCGGAAGGACGGTAGATATTTGAATTACGCACCTTGACAAAAATACAACTTGATATCCTAACCCTATGAATATTCAGATGGAGCCGACAATAATAAAAGAGATCAATAATTGCTATTTTAGGCGGAAAGTCCGGTTTTCTTCTATCAGTTGGCCGACTCAACCGTTCAACGGAGGTGACCTTTGTCAAGGATGGTCACCGGGTAACCATTGAGGAAACCTTCCAAGGTTTGTAGCTTAGCCTTTTCCTTTTACAATTATATAGTCTATTAGTAACTACAATTGACGAACTCTACCGTTTACCGTTAGCTAAGGCTGCGTTGGTCAACTGCATCTAAAAAAAATAGGACGAAGCTAAACACCTGAGCACCAAAATGAAAATCTGTGATGCCCTGAATTCATTCTAGGTTTTATGCGTTATTTTGAATAGTTGCACTGATTCTGAATGCCAGTACGGAGTCTACGAAGAAATAATCTACAGGTCTACCAATACATATCAATCCACTAGTTCCCTGCCTACAAACACGTTTCTATCGTCGATTTTTTAACTAAATATTATAAACGAGCCGTTCTTACGCCTCTTTAGTGTAAACTATAGCGTCAATACTCCGTTTCTATTTATCACTTTCAGGTTTAAGCTTTGATAATATTGTTCGCATGCAGACCATTATAAGGGGTTCGCTACCAACGATTTCGCCTCACTTTAGGCTACAGGTACGCACTCACCGCATTTTAATTACCTAAATAAGGCTCTTGATAATAAACTAGAATATATGGCTATCTGTTAAATAACGTATCAATACAACTAAAAATCTGGTACGAATTATTTTTAGATACCAGAATACGTAAACGTATTTTACCAAATTCGTCCGGGTGAACTTCGATCGAACTCGAGTCAGCAGCTGCAATTTGTTTCTGAGAACGATTCACGCTATAGAAATACTGAATCGCCTTTGGAGCCTCTTACCTACAATGTTCTTCAGTACATCAGGTACAAAACAATACAACGCCATTACTTGTTTTGTTTGGTAGCCGAAATACCTTTGTGTAATATCGTAAATAAAAAAATTCTAAAATATCGGTCCTTAATTGGATTTTTCTTAATTAATATCACTGTACAAATAGAGCTAGAACTTTTCATCATGTATGCGTCGTACTAATTAATTACTCCCATAGTGAACTATCAAATAATATAGTCATATGTACTAAGTTACAAACTAACTTCGTTTCGTGAAGATAAGCCAATTGAAAGTAGATAACTAAACGTTCGAATATGATCGCAGGTTTGAATTAAACCCATGCGACGAAGACCTTCTGGACGATCCTTACAAGTGAGTGCGAACGGAATTAGTCAGAGACTCCTATTCCACGATACATTCGGATACAAAGCTATAGGCATGTGGCTCGGCAGATTCACGTATTACGTGTCCGTACAAAGCCATCGACCTGCGACAATTTACGAATAGAAGGGACGCGTTTCTCAGACATGCGCCATATTTATCTATTTTAGAAGACACGTGTTGGCTTGTCTTATTTTGTTTCCTATTTAGTCACGAGACTATGTAGTTAGAATCTAGAATCGCTGAGACATTAGAGCAAGACCGATTGTGATTCCCACAAACAGGGTTATCGTGAGTCGTGCGAGCGTTCGGGCCGACGAAAGAACTACCCCAGGGCGAGTGCATATGCACGCCGAAGTGGATATTCGAGTTGGTAAGTAAATTTTCGTATGGTACGTAAATTACCTAACCTCCGTCACTGCGTGCGGGACATTTAGTTAATTTCTTCCAGCAGAAGACGTCAGTAAGTAAAAAGACAGAAGCGATCGTATTCGCTACCGATGAATTGTCTGAAGACTAGACCTTTCGCCCAGCTAGCTAATTTATCAGGTGGTTTTCAGAATCTCCACTGTTACCGGTGCCTTTGTAGTAACTAGAAAAGCTCGTTTGAGGAAAGATAGACTCAAAATGTAATCTTGCTTTCGAAAGCTTTATGTTGATTTATTTAATAGTGTTTGTTTCTTCCCTTTGGCAGATTATGTGGCTAAATCTTTATTACATAGATGTTAAAAATGTAACTGCAGTGTTTAATGCAGCTATCCTAAAATAAATACAAATTACAAGTTTTACGTCCAGTGCTCAAGCCGCTATGTATTGCTCCGGACGGTTCTTGTCGAGGACAAAATTAGTTGTGACTCTGCCCGTCGTCGAAGTTGAACTACTTACTTGTTACAAAATTTATTAGTTAAGCACGTCACTTTTACACGATGGTGACGACGTCCTGCTATATCCAATAATACTAAACCAGTCGTTTCGGATCGTTTGTTATTGCAGGAAAACTTGCGGCCGATCCCTGCGACACGGCCGACTGTGGCGACGCCCTCTGCGTCCCAAATGGCGACGCCGATTATCGATGTCTTTGCGATCAAGGAGCCGAATTTCGCAGAGGAAGATGCGTCCGTTAGTAGCATATGGTTCATTATGAACTACGTGGCAAACGAAAGACAAAAAAGAAGTCAACTTTGGCCTTGGTCGAAGACACAATCCGTAGAAGAACATTTAGTAGAACATGAGTAGTATGGGGAACTATTCCGCCAAGTAATTTGAATGATTATTTATTAAATTTTAAGCTGTGTATAAAAAATCAACAGAAATTGCGGATCAAGTTCTCCAATGCGGGGAAATTGTCTTGAAAAAAAAAACGAGAAAAAGGCGTGAGAGTGGTTGAACTCGTTAGCCAAACGCAGCAGGTGGCTGAGAAGGAGAATCAAAGCCTTCATGTGCTGCTACGGCACCTGGGTCAGATTGCGTCAACTGTTTTAGAGAACTGTTAAGGCTTTCATAGAAGTCCTGTAAAGCCTATGCCTTTGTAATGTTAATGAATCTGTGTCGAGTCTATAGAATGAGTAGTGTGTCACTTTTTATCGGTACGTATCATTAGCGAGAAAAAAATGTTTTCTGTAGTTAGACACCTTTCCAAATATAATTACTGCTATATACAGTCGTCATTTTTTTGTTTATTTAACTTGTACAGTAAAAAGAAAACAAGGCTCTGTAAATAAATGAGTCTTAAAGCAGGTTTCAGACGTCTTAGAATGTACATTGTTGCTTTTGTGTCATTCCAACGGGTCTTATAAAACTAATCAAGCATTTTTGTCTTCAAACACACTTCCAAGGCAGTATAGACGTAATTTTTAGGAAATAACCTCTAATCTGTTTACACACATGTACATGTGTAAATTATTGCTAGATAAGTATCTCATTATGAACTATCCAAAGGCCATTGTTAGGTTAATCGTACCCTATGTCACAAAATCATTTCAGATGTTACCCCACGCGTTAGGACCTGCGCAGAAAATCCATCGATGTGTCCTGCAAACGCAATTTGCGTGGACTCGGTCCGAGGTCCCTTCTGCAGGTGCGAAGAGAGATTTCGCGATACCGGAAACCGAATGTGTGAATTAATCCGAATCAGCCCCCGATATGGCAATGGCTCCCATCCAAGTGGCAAGTAAATTTTTTCTGAAAAAACCGCTTACTAAATATGTGTTCGTTTAAGTGCGATGATTTACTTTAATGTGTATTTTGTATCAGCTACGCCTCGCGTACTTTTTCTCTTTTAGGAAACTTAAAATACGCAAGAGTTTATCTGTCTAGTTGTTCGCCTGACAGAAGAAATACAGATTTGTGCAAACGAAATTTGGTTACTTTTTGCTGATGAGCTAGTGGTATTTAGCGAAAGAGTCAACAAAATGTCTAAAACAGCTAACCTAAACTGCGGTATTACCTGTTTGTACCGGCTTGTTGACGTATTCTATATTTTAGTATTAACCTTGCTATTTCAAGAAGTCCAACTCTTGTTATTGGTTCTTCCGTTTCACATACAGACCAGCCACAGCTGACGAAATAGTCGAAAAAAATCCCTAGGAAATAAACCTAAACTAATAAAATATACATAGGGTAGCGCAGAAGTCTTGTGGTAGTTTGAGAGTCTTCGTTTGAGGTCTGTTTAAGCAGCAAGAGATGAAAGTGTATTAAAAGTGAGTGGAAAAAAAAAAGAGAACTGAGATAAACATCCTCAAAATGTAGAAGGACCATTTTTAATTGTTGCAAGGGGTTCGTTTTGCTCTCTGTTAGATAACCTTAGCATTGTCAAAATGAAAATGAATATGAAAATACGCTCTTTATCTTTCAAAACTTCATCGTATATTATTACTGTTTTTATGTCACCAAGGCTATACTTCTAACTCATAAACAAATTGACGTTTTACGCTATTATTTTGTGATAAGGTGATCCGCAAGATCGCGGTATCGCGCTGTCATCTGGGGGCGGTCTGTTACCCGCCCTGTGTTCACAACCCTGTCACCGAATGGCCTATTGCGTGAATCACGGCCAGACATCCATCTGCCGTTGTATGCAAGGTAAAACTTTAATACAATGTACTATTCTAAAGTTCGACTTTCAAAGCGCCTACCAGTAAGTGGTTTTTTTTTCAAATATCCACGTTGAGGTGATTCGTACTAACACGCTTGATGTTTTTTAACCAAAGATGACCTTGCTTGTGGGCAGTAATTCGCTTTAATTCCAACAACATTTAATTTGCAAATAATTTTTTTTTCCTATTCATTACCTAGCTCGTAACTAATTAAACCTATTAACTCTGCTTGACAATAATAGGAACGATCGGCGATGGTGTAAAAGACTGCCGGCCCGTTACATGTGACGACAACCCCAGGTTATGCCCAGTAGGGGCGCATTGTGTCGCGTCCCAATGCCGCTGTAAACCAGGATACGTTGGAGATGGTAGTCATTGCACTAAAGAGGATCGTCTTGACCGATCCCGGCATATGAATGACCGCCTAATATATTCTAGAGGTTGGTTACGAATTTGCTGACTCACTGTTTATTATATTTGGGCTTCCATCAAACAACACTTCAAAGGGTGGTGCCTGAATTGGACTGCCCTGCTTGTTCTTCTATGTTTCAGCATTTTACATTCGGTACCGCCTTATCCAAGCACAAGTCAAATGAGCATAATAACAACAAGCAATACTTTATCTCTTTTTGGGTATGACTTTAGGTATGACCATCCTCGAACTTCCGACCGTTCCGTCTGGGCAGCAGACACCAGCAAGACTTGTTACGCTAGGGGATGACACGTCTGAGGTAAGCAAGCGTGTCCCGCTAAACCCAAACAGGTAGTTTTACCAACGTCAATTCACATTAAATTTTACAATTGGCATTAATTAAATGAAGTAGCAACTTTGCGTATCGACACTTTGAAACTCGCAGATTGTAGGAATAGCAGTAGACTGCGATCACGAATTCATCTACTGGACAGACTCGATTAATGGGAAGATCTTCCGGTCCAGAACCGATGGAAAATATCGTGAAGAAGTCATAACTGGTAAGATTGACCAGCAACAGAAGTATTACTCAATAGTAGCCATTAATTACATGATATATCCGAAAAGTAATTATTCCTTGTCACGGTTCCAGTGTGGCTAACGATCGTTCTAAAAAAAAGCTAAGCAGCTACCCATAGCAAAATAATATGCTTATCTTTGGTTCATTACATATGGGATTCTTGGAAGAACACATTAAATAAGCTACGCTTTAATACGAGACTGCCTTGGCCTTAGAGATGTTTAATACATCTGTCTGTGATTCCTCTATGATTAGGTTTGAAACAGCCCGAAGGTATCGCTGTAGACCCATCGTCGCGGAACCTATTCTGGGTAGATTCTGAGCTGCGGAAAATTCAAGTAGCATCGATTGATAATTTCAGCCACACTTACACCTTGCTTGAAGTCGGGCTCGACAATCCGCGAGGGATAGCCATTCACCCTCAAAGGGGGTATGCTAGCTTTATTTTTATGCAGTAACTTAAATTTAAGAAAGCGAAATTCTCAAGATGCTTAACGATGAACAAATATGGCACATTTTTCTTCATTGCCATCCAACAGATGGTTTCCTTTAACGTAAGCCATTTGGCATCATTGGGAGACCGTTGCCTGTTTCCCTGTACCTTATTGTTTTTTCCTATATTCGAATAAATCGAACATTCGGGTGTATCTGAGTCCGAGTGAATCTTTTTTCAGCAAAGTGTACTTCACCGACCGCAGCTTGATCGCCCCATGTATCGGCTCAATCTCGATGGACGGTACGGAGCGTAGAAATCTTGTCTCCGAAAAACTCGAAGTACCAAACATGCTCGCCGTTGACGCAGAGGTGAGCAGAATAAACAGATATTCATTATCCGTATGTGTCTGTCCAAGTTCATATACCGAATTGTCACGACGATATAAATATACAGGAATAGCTGGTAAAACGTCTCAAATGATAGATCGCACACAGATATACACAGATATGGTAAAAAACACCAATAATTAAATTGCGAAAAAAAATGAGCCTTATAGTTATTCTTTTGTAGAGAGGCACCTACCGGGTACGCCGCAAGATGGACCAGATATCTATTCTATTCGAGCTCTATTTTGAATTTTATATTACGACAATGCGTTTAATGGCTTTGATGTTTGCATTTGAAAAAAAACGTCATTGTCTTTAATCTACTTTTTTCAATTCGACCCGGCAACGACTTTCAATCAGGCCGATGAGCTCTGCTGGACTGACGCTGGCAAAAAGACAATTGAATGCGTTTCACTGGATCCTTCGCTAGCGGGCACTGTCGGAGGGCATAGGAGGATTATCCATACAGGCCAAGCCTTACGTTCAAAAATGTTTGGAATTGCCATGTTCCGTAAGTACTGTAAGCTGTTACCTATTGCTTAGAAAATTGACGACCACAACTTATTGACACCCGTTTAATTAATGCAATCGGTCAGCAAAATGGTCAGCGAGAAAACAGCTTTGTATTAAAAAAAATCGTCGCGTACCTAACCTGCACGGGTCGTACAACCGCTAAAGACATCTATATATATATCCTTTTTTACCCGCTTCTGTGCAAATATTGGCACAGGTTTTAGTAATGTTTTGCAAGTGCCTAGAAGTCTTGGTGTGACCTTTGGGATAAAAATAGCTTTAAGCAACGTGCCATGGCCAAGTAAACAGATTCGAGTTCGAAAAAATAAATTTAGGAAACGGCCAGAGTAAAAAAATTAACGTTTTTTCTTAAAAAATTGCCATACTACACTTGAATGTTTAACACTTAGCCCCAAAGCAGTTCATAATAAAAGAAAGAAGTCATGGAAATAGGGTAACTACCTGTTCATATATGGTATTCCAGAATACAGTTTGAAAAGACTCTGCTCAATGCAGCCTAATATCTTCACCTCAAACGTGTATGATAACTCGAAAAAATTACACCTGTATAAAGCTCTAAAACTGGAATTCTTCTTGAGACTAGGCTGAAACATTACCACAGATTGATAAAGCATTAATACTACCCTATTTTTATATATATATATATCCTCCTATATTATGTATGTAAATCGGCGTTTATGATTGACTGTTAGCTAGAGGACTCGTGTTAGTTAAAGCCTGCATTTTACAATATCTGTTTAATAATCTTGATTACTATATTTTTCATCGAAAAAAAAAGACGTAATTTTGTAAAAGCTAATTTTTAAAAAATATGCCTGTCAATTTGTTTTCCCTATAACAGAGATGCGTATCTACTGGACGGACTGGGAGATTCCAGTGGTTTTTATGATTGATAGGGCGAACAGCACAGGCAATAGTATCCAAGTTACGCGTTTTCTTCCTGTGAGTGGGGGAAGTTCGCGCCTTTATTCCATAGCAATCGCACCTAAACACTGCCCCAAAAGTAAGTATTAGAGTTCCAGTGTTCTGGCTAGCTGTCGCTGTTTTTTGGTGCTGATATCCGACGCTTTCTTGTATTGGCTCCGTAGCTTTCGATATTGAAAAACTACGCTATTCTTTTGAACAATAACTTCAGCATACTAACTTGAGAAACTTTGATTGTATAGTTCGAACACCATGCGAGGTTCGTCGAGGTGGCTGCCCATTTATGTGCCTTCCGACCGACTCCTATGGGCGAAGCTGTGTCTGCCCCGATTCTATACAGAAGGTACCTCTTTAAATATCTCAGATATATATATGCCCACAAAATCTGTTGGAGCTAACCCAGTTCTTTGTTCTGACATGAAAGAAAATCTTCTACAACAAGCGAATACCTGGTTTAAGCTAATTTGAAGCGATCTTTGTTCGGATGCATGATATCAAGCACTTGAGAAAAATGATGTCATGATCGCCCATAGATTTCCAACGAGTTTTTGATTTTATAAATGATTTGACAGTTACGAAAACAAATTTTGACTTCGTACTCTACTTGAGAACTTAATGCTGTTATCAAACAAAATCGCATTATTTTTTTTTGTGGACCTACACTAGCAAGTTGCAATTTGTTGTATCTGCTATATACCTAATAGTGTGTTAATTCGTTGTGACCGTTTCTAGGCGGGGCATTGCCCGCCCCCTCAGCTTCGGGATGCCACCTCAATTCTTTATGACGCCGCTATATCATCAAATGGACCAAATACTTGATTAAGAGTTTCGCACAACTCGGTTAAAAAATCACGTATATTCCAGCTTCTAGTTTATGGCAAGTTATTATTTTGTAAAACATTTCAGTGTCATACTTCGTCATAAGCCTTAGCCACTTCATAATTAGCATTGTGGCTCGAAAACGTTTATCAATGAAATTATAGAAAGAGATCATCGGATGAAACGTGTCGGATCTTGCGGGTGAAGCGAGCAGAGTGTTGAATATTTGGCTCCCTTAAGCCGTATAGCAAGTACTACGCTCAAGCCATCTTATTACTATATAGCTCGTGAATTTCTCTAGAAGCCTGTGTGAAGAGTTTTAGATAAGAAGTCATACAGGAAGATATGCCTCATTATATAGGTCAGCATATTCGTGTATACGCTATTTGTGCTAGCATCCTTCTATCCATGTATACCTACTTAAACTATATGTTTATAGAAACACATGGCCTTAATTTGCATTATACTTGCTTTGTGTGTCGATGCTTCATCGTAGCAGGACTGTTAGGGTAAAATAGCTTGATTTCATTACATTTTACGTAGTAAGGAGCGAAAGACGAGCAGATAAGAACATCTTCTAATTTAGATACCACTTACACAATTTGATACACATACATATAAACATGCATATCAATATTTATCTAACAGACATCTATATGAAGGCAGTTAAACATCGAGTCTGTGACTTTTTCAGTTCACATCATCAGTATTATGATATCACTATTATTTTATAATATTATTGAGTGAATAAATTATACCAATTTTTTGTAAAGCTTAGTAAGTTCAAGTTACTTTTACACGAAGATAAATGCCAATTTAATGCACCAGCTACGTGATACACGAGAGTCGCGAAGGTGTTGCTAATTCATTTGTTCATGTTACACAGTACGTAGCTTGGGGGATATGGGGGATTGGTTAGATATGGGGGAGTAATAAAGTCATTGTTTGTTCTTCGGTTCGGCTCTGTGGCGGGTAGCAAAGGATGGGCTGCGCATAGTGCATGCAGTCGAGTTATTCAAATGCCAAAATAATCCCTTATGCAATCTGAGTAATAGTAGTAGGTGTTGTTAAAAAAGCGGCCATACATAGACTTCAACTGATCTTAATTTGACCTCAGTTCGCCCATCGATAATTCTGTGATTCGTTAACAAGGATGTCGTGGTCATTAGTTGAAGGCGAGTCACTGCCTCGTTTTACTCTGCAAAGCCATGATCTTTCTACCTTTACAACCAATTTCCTAATGACACGTTATGCGACAGCTGACGATCTATTAGATGTGACGAGCTTCTTAGGCTGGCAAAAGAGTATGAACACGAGAAATCAGTTTGGATTGTCCGGTTTGGCCGTTGGTCGTAAGGTCTGTGTGAGGCAAAAATAGGTCTCACCAAGCATATAAAAGGCAAGATTTAAACCACTGTCTGCCTGAAAGTCGTGAGAAAAGACTCTGACAAGCTGTTATTTTATCGAGGCGTATCGACCGGACGTCCTGTCGGCGAAACGGAGTTTGTAGTAGGTAAAAGTGAAAAGTTGTTGAAGAGACCTAATGGTTATCACGCACCCAGATTTTTCAGGTTTCCCTGAAACCACTCAGGTGGAAATATACATTGCTTCTCGTCCATGCACGGCATGCGATCTGTCATCGTGGAGGCAACCTACCGTATTAGACACAGTCGTTAGAAACAAAAAACACAGAATAGGAAGCAGAAAAGCAAACGAGGACGAGGTAGCTATAGGACACAGTACTGCCTGAGAGAAAAGCAGCCCGATAGATTCTTCTTTTTAACTGTCGACTTGGCTAAATTGACGTCGGCCAACCCAGGGCATGTTCATGTACAGTGAGCGCCCGGTGTCCGCACTCCTCGATGGGCTAACACAGTCATTTCTGTGACGCATTCCGACGACGTCATGAGCATCTTTTATTCAGTCTGAAAAAACGGTTGGCCCGAAGGTCAACAAGGTCTGGAGAAATTCCTGAGACAAGAACGTTGTACGGTACTGATGGGCCTGAAGGTTTCTCCTCCTTTCGAAAGACAGCTAACTGGAGTTCGAGGGGACGCCAGATAACCAGAGAGTACTTGCGTGTAGAATAAAGAAAGAAAGAAAAATAAAGGACAGATGGCTGTGCCTGAACAAAGAACGCTAATAGCTTTGCTTCTTGGGTAGTAAAAACTTTAAAGGACGCCAGGTTTTTTTCGTTAAAGCTTCTGGGCCTCCGCTTCGAAAAAATGGAAGGTCAGCTTTACATTTGTGCTCGTCGTTCCAAAAAAAAAAAAGGCAAATCAAGATGACCAGGCTAAATGGATCGAAAAATGGTTAGGAGGGCGATGGCTGAGTGAGAATAATAGTGTACAGCAGCACAGCTTGTCACGGTGTCAGCCACGGGAGCACAAATTTGGCGCAGTCAAACCTCGAAGGGAAAACCGCCTGAGTCGCATCTTAGATGAGCCGGAAACAAAAATCTGGTCTTAGCCTACTTAATCCCTGTTTATTGCTCTGTCCTGTTTTTAGTTTTGTTGAATAAAAATATCTTGTATATTGCGATATGCTCTCGCCACGAATGTCTAAATGCCAGCAATGGACTTCGGCGTGAGAGGGCCCAGAATACGTAGTACAAAACAGGAATGGGCAAGGAGCCTCCCTACTATATTACACCTGAAATAATAATATTATTAAAAATAATTATATTATTATTAAAAAAAATAATAAGCCCAGTTTCGTAACGTCTTTATTCGTCTTTGTTTCGTGATTCTTAAATGTATAAATAAATATCTGCTCAGAGCTGTAATTGGATGTGAACCGCTACGGTGCAGTCGCTTTACACCTATTGTTATGTCGGTATATATTCATGTGTGTAAAATAACTTATTTGAATTCTACTTCGTGTTATACATTCGATCAGGACCGTATGCCCCTAAGAAAGTTTTATTGCGACACTGAATGACCGGCGGCTTCAATTATGCCTTCTTTCTTGCATTTTAATAAACAGTATGATATAAAGAAAGAAGATATTATACACTTTAAAGGCGACTGCTTTTCAAATTTTCGAATGCTGCTTTGCTGATAGCGTATGGTTTTTAGATGAATGATATCGTATAGTGAAATTCTATGCAATTTATAATACGGTCAAAGTATCTGTGGGCCGTTTAGGTTCTCATAAGTAGATGCCTTTGTATATAGGTACGGCCTTAACTTTGTTGCATTAGCGGCATCTCTTAAGTATGAGGTGCTATAAAAATCATAGGTCTGCCGTGCGAGTTTATATGGCACCATGTGTGTTTTTCATCGACTTGGCTTAGGCAATATCGAACATGCATAGAAAGAAAAAGGGAATAAAAATTCAAGCCTCATTCACAAGACAACCGTTCAATAAAAGCTCAGCTATATTCTGTGCTTAGCTATATAGGGTCGCATTGATCGTTTCTATTCAGTTAATACTGTATGGCTGGCATCCGCAAATAGCTTTCCTAGATGTAGTGTTTCGTGTAATGTACAGATACAAAAAAGCAGGTTCTACTCGCTTGTGTCCTTACCCTATAAATGCGTTCCTTACGATCTGAAATCACGTTTTGAATCAGCTCAGATACAAAACTGATCCAATAAGAAGCATTCTAAAAGTCCACACTTTCCCGTACAACCTACCACAGCTATAACAGTATTTCAAAGATACAGCACAATGGTCCGCTTGTCGTCAAACATCTCGAAATGACAATATCAAGGGGCATTTAGGGCTCCGAATACAGGCTTGGGGCTCCACAAATCCTAAGAACAGCTTCTTTTTGTGTACATGCTCCCTAAACTTATGGTCGTCCCGTTTCAAACACTTATACTATTGGATATTAGGTATCTAGGGTAAAGTTACGTACCCACTACGCCAAACGTTGGTTAATAAGGAATATTTATAATTAAATTAAATCAGTAAAATAAAATCTTCGGTTCTGATGCGCAAAAAGCAAAGGACGCCAGAGGCTATAAACTAAAAATACTAAAATAGGCTTTATGTGCGATTGCTGAATAACTTTACTTCCACGGAAAAACTCTATTAAAAACGTACGATTTAATAAGACGGATGAACTACTAGCGAAATGTTGCAAACAGATAAAAACGATCGTTAATCCCTTCGGTCGCTGACCGATGAAACAAATATGCAATGATCCCGTTGTTGTTGGAATATAAATTAGGAGAATTAAGGATAGCTTAAGAGGATTAACGAAAGAACTTTGCGTTAATATAGTATTGGTGACTTCGGACAGTAATCTATCTCTCTATAAGATATACTTCATTTATCGCCTACAAATATACGACTGTCCACATTAAACCGTAGGTGATTTCATTGCTCATGCAGATGACTCACAATTCTTAGCATTTGTTCTTTAATTGCACGCACATGTGCTAAATTATTTGACTTAACAATATTTTCTAATTGCTAAACGATTTACTGGATAGGAGAAGTTCTTCAGTTATACAAAAGAGGCTATTGCTAATTATACGGTAGCGTTTTCTGTGCAAACCCATCCCTCTCAGTCAACTCTTAAAATTGGGATTTTTCTGAGTTTTTTTTTTTCTCAGAAAGATAGATTCGCGTAGATTTGGTAATCGCTTGCGTTTGGTCAAACATCAGGTTTTGTTGAGAAATTTTGTCCGACCCATTGAGCGGAACTTAGAGAAACACGTTTCAGAAACGCAGGACAGCAACCTGTAGTCCTTTATGGAATTAGGGCGGTCCTAAATCTCCTCGGTCCTGGAGTGGAAGAGCTGAAAAGCAACCTTCTTGTCTGCTAAGTGAATCTGGCAACGACGCGTTGCGGTGACGAAATTGCAGGCTAACGAACGAACGCTGGTTAGAATCGATAGGCCCTTTTCTTATGTCTTCATTGCTGTGGTGTTATAAGCTACAGAAAACGCAACGTTGGAAGAAAACTTGCTGTGATGGAGGTGCTAGAAGCCTTGTAGAGGCCGCAATTATGGGATTAGACTGACAATCATTTCTGTGTAGACCTGACCCTTTATAAAGTCTCCTGAAGGTTGGCTAAATCGTTTCGGAAGTTTGAAGGCAACCCGCACATAAGCTAAGCCTGTGTTGGATGTTGGACAGAAGATGCCGATTGTATCATAACCTCAAGTCGACGAAAAGATAAGGTTTGTTGGGAGTCAACACACAAACGCTAAAAGGCTCCTTCTTCGCTTGTTAAAAGCTTTGGCTTGATGACACAGGAGCGATCGACTGAAAAAGGAAGCGAACAATTTCAGCAGGAGTGACGCCGCACTGCAATGTCCGGTCCCTTGGCGACAGAAGACCACACGCAACCAGCGTTGAAGAGTAAGCTTGGCTATCTATCGAAGATTTAACTCTTTTCGTGGTCATGGTTATGTGTGTGTGTGTGTGTGTGTTTGAGTGACAAAAGCCATGTCCTATTGTCATACAGACTACCTTAGCAACGGCATCGCGTCAAGCCGTCCGTACCAACCGCGTTTACTAATGAACGTCGCACCGTAAAGTTGAAGTGCCGAAACCACAAAGAATTTGATTATGATGAATGATTATGTCTGGCGTCAACCTTTACATTTTCAGCACATGTGCATTTAAAACATTTCTAGCTTGGAACCGTTTTAAATGTTAATGTATATACTGTCGTAGCAATTTTCGTATTTCTATTTATTGCGCCCTTTCTAGCGTACAGAACCCATTGCTGGACGAGAGCTTCCGAATGAACAATTGGATTCAGTGTAACGTACCCTATACGCGCCGTGTAACCGTACAACCTCCTCTTCATTGTCTGT